TTACATTATCAATGGCACTAAATCACGAGGTTACACAAAGGTGCTCTCACTACAGTTTGTGGTATTTTATAATGAAGCTGGATAAAAGTATTTGTGTCATATAATAATTTTTGCTTTAGAGGATCTCCTCCACCATCACTACACCTCCTACAACACCAAACGACACGTAAATCCCTCACAGACAGATTGCTTTTAATGCAAAACAATGTATCCACATGACTGGATACATTACATTATCAATAACTCTAAATCACGTGGTTAAACAGTGGTGCTCTGACTACAGTTTGTGGGATTTTAAAATGAAGCTGAACAAGTATTTGTGTCAGATAATAATGTGTGTTTTACAGGACCTCCTCCACCACCACTACACCTCCTACAACAAAAGAAGACAAGTAAGTCTCTTACTGACAGACTGCTTTTAAAGCAACAGAGCTTACCCACATGACTGGATACATTACATTATCAATGACTCTAAATCACAAGGTTACACAAAGGTGCTCTGACTACAGTTTGTAGGATTTTGTAATGAAGCTGGATAAAAGTATTTATGTCAGATAATATTTTTTGCTTTACAGGATCTCCTCCACCACCACTACACCTCCTACAACAAAAGAAGACAAGTAAGTCTCTCACTGACAGACTGCTTTTAAAGCAACACAGTGTACCCACATGAATGGATACATTACATTATCAATGGCACTAAATCACGAGGTTACACAAAGGTGCTCTGACTACAGTTTGTAGGATTTTATAATGAAGCTGGATATAAGTATTTGTGTCAGATAATATTTTTTGCTTTACAGGATCTCCTCCACCATGACTACACCTCCTACAACACCAAATGACACGTAAATCCCTCACAGACAGATTGCTTTTAATGTTACACAGTGTATCCACATGACTGGATACATTACATTATCAATGGCACTAAATCACGTGGTTATACAGTGGTGCTCTGACTACAGTTTGTGGGATTTTATAATAAGGCTGGATATAAGTATTTGTGTCAGATAATATTGTGTGTTTTACAGGATCTCCTCCACCAACACTACACCTCCTACAACAGATGGCAGGTTTGTTCCCTGTTTTAACAACCCAAAGAAATACTCACATAGTGCTTTTGATCCAATATCAACATGGCTGGATACATTATAGCATTGGACAAATGAGACATGAATTTAAATTAATCTGTTATTTTCTTTCTGTTGTAGTATATTCGGCTTCTCTCCTGGAATGGTGGCCTCTCCTCTGTTTACTGCTCTGCTCCTATTGATGCTCTTTACCGTTTGATGTTACTCTCTCAAAGTCTCTTGAATTTATTTGTCTTTGATATCTTTTGATTTCGAGTTGAGGAAAATAGCCATTCTTCAGTGGGCAGAGATTTGAAATCAGGAATAGATAGGAGAGAGAACTCTTCTTTGGGTTAAATCACCTGCATTTAATGCTTACAGGTAATTGTCTGATATAATGATTTAAATTTGGTGGAGGATCATATATTTTGTGGATAAAATGTTTATGTGTTCATGATTTATCATACACTTTTATCCAAAGAGACATCCAATGTAAAAAAATATATGGGTTATTTTGTGAAATTGTTTTAATGCAGAAAAACTATTATAAAGTATCACTAATTTGAATTATGCTATTACAAGTTTGATGATCCTTAATGGCAATATACCTAACAAGGTGCTAGTATATTTCCCCCTGGGTTACAGTTGGTTGCATATAAATATAATATTGAAAGAATAAATAAAGAATTTTGAAACCCAATAAAGTGTTTTGTCCTCAGCATAATTCTCATTAATCTCCTCCAACTGATGAATCCATAGCTTATTAACATAAATGTTTTCATATGAGTTGCTTAGAGTGAATGGCAGTCTAACACCAGTGATCATTTCACATCAGTGTGATCAGAACCTGATCATCAAGCTCTGTCAACGTAAGGAACTTTTTCCGAGACTGGGATGTAGTCAGAATTCTGAATATCTTTCTTATACCAAGAAGTTGTTAATTCCCCTGTTGTGAAAATGACTTTTACATGTCCCCCAGAACATCCGAATGACTTAATTTAGCTTGTCAGCTAAAAGCTTACTGACAGACTGGTTTTTTGAGGGTTGAAAAAATAAGTGGTGTCTCTTTTTTTTCTTTTCAAAACAATGCCACCTTTCATGCAGAACATGCACATACAAGTATTTACCAAGTCCAGGTCTACACATGCTGAATTCTCCCATAAGTTGAGCCATGCCAGGTTTTTTTGTGATATATTATCACTGCTGATCTAACTAGAAAATGAACAGATGCTCAATATTCTCATAGTGTCTTCGCACCCACTAATTTAACCCATGAAAATATTCTCTTTTTAACGCATGAAAATATTCCTAACACTCGCTGTTAAAAATAACCTCAGCCCAATAATGTAATTGATAAAAATATTTTTTCACTCTATTTCTTTTCCGCGCAGTAATTGGCAGCACTAAATAAACACTCTCTGAAGGAGCAGGCAATCATTTTTTAAAGCACTGGCTGCACAGTGATGAGGGGTTTGCAGTTTTAATCCCTGGACCCTGGGGCTCTCTTTGAGGGGAGAGCGTTCTCTCCGGGTAACTTCCTCCCGCAGTTAAAAATCATGCAGGTTACGTTGACTAATGATTCCTACCCTAGGAGTGACTGTGAGTGTGTGATGTTGTTTGTGTCCATGTGGTCCTGTGTTGGACTGGCGACCTACCAAAAGGTAGAAACGCTGTTTGGATAATGTAAGAAAGAGTGTGTGGTGAGCTGGAAATATCACCTGTACCTGTCCTTGTTGAGGTGGAGCGGAGGTGAAATCTGTGGTTTCACCACTTTACTGCAGAGAACATGCGCAGCATTGGAGTCAATTTGAGGGATCTCAGAGCGTCCCAAAAGTGAAGACAAGACAAGGGTTAAATCGTTCACACCCCGTCTTGCCGGCAGAAACCTGTTTTTACAAATTCTTTGTGGTCTCCAACAAGTGTTAGCTTCAAACTGATGCAGAAACCCAGGATTGTTTGCATATTTTAAAAACATTGTTGCTGAAATGTTTGAAAAACCTGTTTTGTTAAGTACGAGTAGCTTAAAATGTGCTTACTGCAGCAAAACACTCTCATTTCTATCTCAGGGAAAAGAGTCAAACAGGGTAAAGACATTTTCAGAAAGAATTTCCCACTGAAGTTAACTGGCTGGTTCTATCCGTTAGCGCTTGGTTGCATTTTAAAATATAATTCTTTGTTTCTATTTCTCTATCTCTTTGATTCAGTCTTAGGCACCATGAGGATTAAAAACTACTATTTTCTTGTGGTTAGTCGGGCTGTTTTAGCTGCTGTCCTTACAAATGAAGTAAGTAGTTGTAATTGGACATTTAGTTCAAATTTAACTTGATTTGCAAATAAATGTAAACCATAATGTTCATCTGACAACATGTCAATCTATCAGCTAAATTTGAAATGTTATTGTATCTTGATTTCAAATAAGTGATTAACTTAGATTTCAATTTCTAAAAATGTTAAATCCATCCACACACTGTCCAAAAATTTTGTAAATATCCTTGAGAAAAACATCTTTCCTGTACCTTTTTTCCCCAGAATGGACAAAAGGTTGTGGGTAAGTGTGACAGTTTTTCATCCACTGTTTGATTGTTATGCTTTTTTGGGGAGATAAATCAGCTGTTCAATGTAAAGGAGTACTCCATCTATTTTCATAGATATTTCTGGATCAATGAACATGACAGAGGCGAGTGGGGGTAACATCAAATTTCTTCATTTCTCATTGTTTGGAAAAATAAATGAATCAATTGTGCTTTCAGTAAATTATGAATCGGCTTTACTGATAAAAACCCTTACTATTCCATTATTGCAGATTCCTCATATGATGATATTATGTGGGTGAGTTTATACCAAACATGAGAATATATTATTGAGAATATCTTTATATTGTTTATTGATTTATTATTTTGTGACCTTCACTACTGTCTCGTTTCATCTTAGCCTGCCAGCACACAAAGGAGCATTGATAGTGCTGAGGAAAAACGGTGGACATCCCCAATTCCATATGTTTTTGATGAACACCTTGGTAAATATCATTACTAAACTTTTAGACCCTTAGAATAAATTTGTTTGCAGAGCACCTCTAAATTACCAATTGTTGAAGCTGCATAGCTTCATAAAAAGAAAAGTTGTTACTTGATTCTGTACCATGCAAATGTTCAGTGATTAGCAAATAAAGCAGCTGCTACGTATGATTTATTCAATATAAACAAAATATAACATTATAAAGGGAGAGAGCTGGTTTTCTTACATTATGAAATAATACAACACATCTCCATCTCATCTCTCTAAAACCCAATGAACAATGTCACTCAGTATTGTTTAAAAAAGCTGGACTGCAACATCTGTTTTTAACATTGAGTGTTAGAGCATAGTTAAATGGTAAAAAAGTGTAACATTTTTCTTTTGTCTCTGTGATAAATTTCTCATTAAATCTGAAAGGGCCGAATGCTAAAGGGGTCATCCTGAGAGCCTTTGACAGCTTTAGGGTGAAATCGTGCATGGACTTCAAACCACGAGTCTCCGAGGAATATTACATATCTTTTGAAGATGTAAACGGGTATGATTTTTCTTTCCTTGTCTCTAACCATTATCAGATTTGACTTTTTCTTACACAAATCCAGCGCTCTGTCATTTAGTCAAACTATTAGATAGATTTATAAGTCTCTTGTGGAGAGAAAAAGAAAACACTTTTTAAAGCACTTTCTGGAATTAGATGGCCCCCTGCACTTGTCTCGATGGATTACATTTTTTGTACCATGTGACAGCATAGAGCTATCAGTAAGATGAGTAATGATTTTTGCTTTTCCTATTTAGGTGTTTTTCTTTTATCGGAAAAGTTAAACCCAACGGTCAGGTCGTCTCAATCGGCAAGCATTGTGAAAATGTAAACACTGTTCAGCATGAGCTTCTCCACACTCTGGGCTTTTATCATGAGCATGCCAGACACGACAGAGATGCCCATGTGACGATTGTGAAAGAGAACATCATGGAGGGTATGATTAATGCTTTCATCGGACTCAGGATTTTCTAAAGTTAGATCAAAATGAACTAAAAACCGCTATATCATGCAGAAATTGTGAACATTTCAATGCATTATTTTCAATATGTTTTCTTTTTTTGTTTGCCATCCAGGTAAAGAATCTAACTTCAATGTGGTTGAACGTGAAGAAAGCACCACCCATGGGGTTCCATATGACTACTGGTCAACGATGCATTATGGCAAAAATATGTTCAGCAATGGCAATGGCTCTACGATCATTACTAAAGACCCAAAATTCCAGGATGTAATCGGTCAAAGTTTGGGAATGAGTCCTCTAGATGTTCTGGAGCTGAACCTTCATTACAAATGCAGTAAGTAATTAAATAGTGAGAAAAACACCCAGTTTCTCTGATGTCTACTGTGTTAAAGAGTTTCAGACAATGAATACAGTGTCTTCATTCATCCTCACAGACTCAACCATTGCCTTTATGATGCACTGCAGCTTTTCTAATGGGAGCCTTTGTCAAATGACCCAATGCTCACACGGTGGCAAAGGCTGGGAAGCGGCAACACAGGTTTTTGGAGGTCCAGAATCTGACCACACCAGTTTAGCCAGCGTTCATAGCGAGCATGGTAAAGTTGAAAATGTTCTGCATTGAGACTCAGCATTTGTTTAATGCAAAATGTTCTATGTAAGGAAATTCCTGATATCTTGAAATCCTCTTTTTCTTTCTGTCCAATGTCATGAAAATATACATGTACTGTAGCTCTACTTCTGCCCCCACCACAGAATATTCAATACTTGAAGAAAATGAATACCTAATTCTATTATTGCTGCATTTTAATAAAATGTACAGTGTGTCTACAAATGTTTTTTTTCTTTTATTTCTCTTTTAATAGGTCAAGAAGGAGGTCACTTCATACATGTTAGCACAGCATCGGGACAAGAAGGAGATTCAGCCCGCCTGGAGACCCAGGTGATGAGTCCAAAGAGGGGGTGTCCTGTCCAGTGCCTCCAGTTCTACTACTACAACAGCGGGAATAGGTCTGATGTGCTTAACATCTGGATCAGAGAGTTTCAGGATGAACAGGACTCCAGTGGAACGCTCCGCCTCATGGGACAGATCACTGGTAAAAATCAAAGTGTTTGAGAATTTGCTGAACTGGAAATCTTTTCAAACATAGACAGTGATGTTCAAACAGTTCAACTGTCCTTCACCAATCCTCCCTCCAGGTGAAACAACTTCTCACTGGAAGCTCCAGCATGTTTCTCTGAACGCCACTAAGCGCTTTCAGGTGGTGTTTGAGGCTCAGAAAGGAGCAGGAAGCTCTGCAGGGGGCCTCTCAGTTGATGACATCAATCTATCTGAGACTGAGTGTCCCCATGTGACCCTGCAGATTGATGACTTTGAGAAACTTCTGAGCACCAGTGCTTATGGAACCAGAATATACAGCCCACGGCAGTATTCCAAAGAGGGCTATGCGTACAGACTGGCGGCTATTCTCTTTCAGTCATATTTTGGACTGTACGCTCAGATCGTCTCAGGAGACAATGATGACCGGCTGGAGTGGCCATGCTTACAAAGACAAATTACTTTCCAAATGCTGGATCAGAACCCAAACATTCAGCTGCAGATGTTCAAGCAAAAAAGTTTCACTACTAACAAAAATCAGAAATTTTCTGATGGTAAGATTTCACCACAATAAAAGTTATAAAAGATTTCAAGAGGATAAACACTTTGTCTTTATGTTATCTGTACTTTCTCTAAAACAGGCACCTCACACTGGGACAAACCTCGTAAGGCAGGAGAACAATTTGTGGACGATAATCATGAGTCCATCTTTGCCGGACCACTTCTTGGTTTTGACAGATTTGCATCTTTGAAAGAAATGCGCTACAGAGAGTTCCTGAAAGGAGGAAGTGCCATTTTCACCCTGGAGTCTCAAGGTTAGATCCATGCTTTCACTGCTGATATTCATATTCACTGAAAACATTTGAAATATCCCCCTCTAGACTGGTCTTTTTTTTTTTATTTTGTTACTGACACTGTCTTCTTCTAACAGATATAACTCCTCTATTTAATGAAAGCAGCCTCCCATGTTCTAAAGTGGGACCGGTAAAGATTACACATCCACAAACATATCAGGACAAAGGACCATGCTTTTTAAGGTAGTCAGTTAAGCCAAATTAAGTCAAGTTTAATTTCTGAAATAAGAACTTTGCACAAAGAATTTGTATTCCCTTTTAAATAGTTCTGTGACTCTTACAGGATTCCTCCCACTGTCGTCACTTCACACCCTACATCAAACAACAGGTACCACAGATTACCGGCTCATTTGATACTTTTAGATGTGCAATAACTGCTGTTGTCAGGAGTGGTTTGAAAACAGGGAAGAGAAGCATGACGAGATAGTTACGTAAAGGCTTGTCTTTATCAGCATAAACATATAAAGCTTTCTGTTGTAGAACTGCATTGGGTTCATGTTAATATTCCTCTATGTAACAAGAACAAATGTTAAAATCTGCTTCTCTTTCTGTGCTTTAGTGTTTTGAGCTTCTCCCCCACCAAAGTGGCCTCTCCTCCCCTGACCCTCCTGCTCTTGCTGGTGCTTTTGAAGCTTTGACAGGCCTTTTTTTTGGTCTTCTTGAATGTCTAAATGTATTGGGGAAACACTCTTCATTTTAATCAGATATTGTTTTCGTTTGCTGATTGGAATATTATAAGCACTGACATTGTTGTGTTGACATAAACAATCCTGGTGTTTATGAGCTCTCACATAAAAATGTAAAAATACAAAAAGGGGTAAAAAGGTGAAAAATGTAAAGTTAAAGGAAGAAAAACAAAAATAAAAACATTTCTGATAGATAGATAGATAGATAGATAGATAATGCTCTGAAACCTGTTTGGTTAGCATTTGTGTATTGTTACTTTTGTAATGTAATCCTTGATTTTTAACCATCTTGTTCTAAGAGATAAAGATATGAAACAAGGCTAGTTTGATTTAAAACTTCAAGAGATGTTTAAGTGATTGAATCCAGGAAGGATTTTAACAGATGTATGCCATTGAGAGCTTATTTAGTAAGTAATGTATTCATACTGACTAAGTTAATGTGTGATAAATTTATATTCCATGTTGTACTATCATTACAGACTGAACCAGACATTTTTGGTAAGCTATTTGCTGACTTGTTATTTGCGATTTGCTTTCTCTTTATCTAGTTTCATTCCATGGAACTTCTTTAACCTGATCAATGTAACTAATTTGTGTATAAATAAACATTATTTTTTTTAAAGTCACTGCAGTTTGAATATATTTTTTAAATGCTTTCATAAATTGAAATATTCAAATGAGAGAGTGATTAAAACAGAGGGTTTGCAGAATTTTCCACATAAGAAACATAACCCAGTAGAGCTGTAGCTGGGAACAATGGAAAAGATTAGAAACTCCCCCTCAGAGTGGCCGAGAGGGGGGAGGAATGTCTGTTCCCCTCTTTGACCTGTTGCTTGTTACACAAGACCGAATGTGAGGAACGATGATCAGTGTGTGGAGGTCAGAATGACCGGGGTGGGGGTTAGCTTTGCCTCCGACTGTGGAGTTGGACCGGTTTGTCTGTGTTGCTCTCTGCGACTTAAACATTAACGTCCTGACTTACCGCTCCGTTTTCCAACTGCACCCTGTTCATAATAACTGGGTCATAGAAATATTTACATTGTTGCAAAAGCCAAAGATTGAACATATTTTGCTAAAATTTTAAGTGAAGGTTAAGGGAATTAACTGAAAGATTAAAACTTGAGTGCATTTCAGTTTTCTTTGACCATGAACATTTAATTTACCAGTAGGTCTCAGGCATGAGGAGGACAATGCTGCTGTTTCTTCTTAAATGTGGGGGGGGGAATGAAACATTTTAACAGGTGTCAATTAGAGGAAAATAATATTTTGCATTAAAGATGGCAAATCTATTCTTTTTTTTCTGCTGTGTCCATCAAAGCATCTCTTCTCAAACCCGGTTCAATGCAGTCTAATGTGCACATTGAGATCCCTTGAAAGGTTTCTGTAGAGTCAAATAGTTGCAACAAAGCAGTTCTCGACCTGCCATGGGACGTGAGGCAGTAGGAAAATGCATCTGGTCCGGTCTTTTATTCCCGCTGTAAACAAAAATGGCTCCTCTCTGGAAGTGTTCACTATGGTCCGTTTCAGAGACACCTGGTTGACTCTAATGAATGAAAAAATCAAAAAACACCTCGCTGTACAAAATGTAATGACATTTATTCAATCCATACATGATCACCATATATTATGTCTTACTGCTTACTTTAATTTTCACGTCACATGTTCTCAAGCATCACATGAAGCCCTCTGATTTACATCACACAGGCCTCTGCGCGTTTCCAATACACCATACAGGAAAGACATTTGTGCTACAGTATGTAGGCATGGCTTGGCCGGTCCTGGCTCATTGGTAGTCGTCTTTGTCTCTCTGTCAGCTCCAGAAATCACAGTTGTAAGAGAGTCTCTGTATCCAATTCCAAAAACTTACTTCGGGTTCCTGTGTGTCTCTGTGCCAGTCCAAGCTGTGGCCTGTGAGCTGGTTCTTGGTGGCCCATGCGCCTCTAGCCAATGGTGACACCAAAGCCGCACTGGAACTTGTTCTTGCGGTGGTTGAGGAAGGCCCCCAGGGCCAGTGTGAGGGGCAGCGGCAACAGCTTCTTTTCCAGGGTTGCCCCGACCACCCAGTTACTGTCCACGGTGCCTGGAGAGTGGGAGAATACGCTCATTAGGCCACTACCGCTGGATGTGCGGTCACTCCAGCTGCTGCCTTCCTGGATTTACCTTTGAAGAGCAGATTAGCTTTGGGGAGGTCCAACTGGTAACCAAAGGATGTTGTGGTGTCTTGCATCCGAGTGCTGGCTTCAAATTCAACCCCTACCTGCAACTGTTTGAATGCAGAAATTACAGGAGAGGTGAGCCGAGTGTTTACAAAACTCTCAGTTGTTTGTGGTTTGGTCACTGATCGTGTTTCCATCACATCTCTCCCATGTGAGACTCTTTACTTGACCTGATTCTTGACTCTTTTCTCGACCTAATAGATTATTTTTATAAATCTAGACTCGGGCTCTGATTACATACAGTAGACATCTTGTCAAGCTGCGCGTTAATTCATTTGTACAGATAAAAGCTTTCTAAAACTCAGGTAAAGTACCTGCTCATTGGCTTTGTGATAGTACGTAGCATGAGCTCCTGCACCTCCCAGTGTTAAAGTTGCCACAAAGTTGTCCCCTGAGGAGGAAAACAAAAGACGTCTTAACGCTTGAATGAAGCAACGACTGAAATACGTGACATTTGGTAGCAAAGTATTACATTTGCTGAGGTTGCATAGGTTTCGGATATAAACATGATCTTACCTGTGTACCTGCCCAACAGAGAGGTGACGGCCCCTTCCTCCCCTGGTCTCCTGTGATACACCAGCTCTCCTCCCAGAGCCAATGATGGTGTGATCGACTGAAGATAGTGGGCAACCACAATGCCTGCGGAAAAAGCAGTCGGGGAGCCCTTCACATACATTGTATATCTTGGTTTCTTGCATATGTGTAAAATATGACCCCCACTCTCAGGTTTGAGCCATGAGCACACAGGGCCACACACTGAAGGAGCAAAACACAACCCAATGTGACCACTGGGCTGCGAATGTGCATAATACAGGGGGGCGGGGGCACTGTAAAGATTGTGGCATTACATAGACGCTTTTTAGTTAAATAAACACAAACTGACCCTTTTCATGCTTAGAATCGTTCATTTGGACAAAGCTCAGAGGCACTCTGGTGTGGATAAAACAACACAACTGCGGTCCTTCAAAAAGTTATTTGGTTCAAAGATTATTCAAGCGGTGTGGAATTTGTTGCTTTGTCCCCCCAGTTTTCTGGTCATGAGTTTACTTATCCTGGTATAGAGTAATGACTAGTCCATCCGAGATCAGTTGTTATGCTACGTAAAGCTTATTTTTGTGTTATTACATTAGTAACATTACCTTTGCCATCTACCTGATGTCTGTTCCTTTCCCTGTCAAAAAAGGATATAGGATGTTATTTGTTGAAGTATGGTATGTCAATAAGAGCCGGTTTCATATGGCCCCCGGGTCCAGGAGATATCCTCCCCAGCCCTTCCTTTTCTGCAGGTGGAGCTAAATTATGCTCTACAGGCGCCCCCTGGCTGCTACTTTTGGTAATACAGGGTCTAAGATGTTACATATATGTTTCATAAGAGAGCTTAGATTTGTTTGTTATTTGTTAAACTATATTTAAATCTCTTTTAAATCAAGCTGAAGCAGCATAACTGGCCATGACTTATGTGCAAAGTCACAGATCACATTCTCAGAGCTGAAGCCAACCATTGTTAGGGTGTTGAATTCAAAATAAAAGCACACAGAAAGCGTTTGTGCCCAAAACCAGAAAAAGTGATTTTTGTTTTCAAAGCAACAAGAGTCATTAATGTTATAGTTTCTGAGGTGGAGATTGTCCTCTGTTGAGCATTTAGGCTGTTTATTGATTAATGATCTAATTAAAGCCGTTTTCAGCATGTGAATCAGCTTCTTGAACTCCCATTCTGCTGGTATACGCTGTCATTGATCTAATCCCAGTCGTACCAGATCCAACGAGAACATCAGGATTTCCCAGCGTCACGGCAGAAGTGAAGTCCTGACCACGATACTCCAAGTCACACTGCCAGTTTACAAACTTATGCTGCTGAGTCTAGAAGAAACAATAGAGCACATCAAGCCTGAATGAGAAGGTAAATGATTATTTAGATGCGGAAGAACTTCCTTTCACATCTGTACTTACCTGCATGGCTATTTTGGAGCGTACAGCATTAGTAAGCTGGTGAATGATCTGGGCATTCAGACTCCCAGTGTTGTCCATATCTCCAACAATGACAGGAAATGACTGGACAGAACAAAGCCCACCATTTTCAGATTTGAAGAAATTAAATTAAACAACCGTAGAAACACCTTTATGGGTATCTTGGTGGCGATTCATTCAAATATCAGATTTCTGCCTTGAACAAAATGTTCAAATGACATATGCCGAATGGTTTTAACTTACATAAATCATTTATTTATTTTTGTATCCTCTCCAATCGGTCTGCACTTAACAAGTCATAAACCAACCACATTCAAACCTCAATTTAAACTGTCAACATGATTCATTAAAGCAGCAGGAAACTGAGCCTTACCTCTGCCGGTCCAGTCTGTTTACTGCCAACGTAGGTGGTGCCAAATCGATAACCAGAATCTCCCATGGTGCTAAGGGTAACAGTATGGCTGACCTGGAAGTGGTTACTTAGGCCCTTGTTGACCATTAACCGCACCCCTTCCATCTGCATGGGGAACACCTCTAAAAGAGGAAAGGGGAGATTAATAAACACCCACAGTCACCGCTGCTGATCATCACCTGTTACACAGCTTTGCAACATTATGGTTAAATATGAATAAACCCACACACCAGTGATTAATCTACTTAATACACAGTTTATAAAATCTGAGGGGATCTCACAACCTTTACATTTCCGGTGGCACTCTTCATATGTGCCTGGGTTTGGAAGGGAGTCGCCGCCATCTCCTTTCTGCTGGTCAGACTCAGACGTCTGAGGGACGGAAGATACGGAGGGCATAGTGAAGCCGGGAGGGACTGACACCAACCCTGGGACCCCTTGACCACCACCAGTAGCAGGTGGGGCTGGACTGGGGGAGGTGGCAGCCAACACACTGCCCATACTCTGACACTGTAACAGACTGGAGAGAGACCAGCAGTGAGTCATTAGTTTACATCATTCATCACAACCATGTCGATGGAAACCTATCCCAAATGAAACAACAAAGAGAATCAGTAAGAAAGCAGCTATCACCTTAAAGGTAGATAGTGGCAGTCAATATACTTTGATTTGAATGAGTTGCTAGATTTGGTATGTATACACATAAAGCTTGTTACACAGTATATACAATCATCTAAATCATATTAGGAAGTAAAAACGTTACCCAACAGCAGGGGCACAACACCATCAACTTGCCAAGCTATGTGCTCTGTCCTAGTACACTAGCAGAAAGAGTAGCATGCTGGTGCAGGCTAAGTAAGGCCCAGTGTACCCCGACTCTCCGCGCAAAGCACGGTGAGATACACCAGGTTAGCAACGGAAAATATCAATCTGGAAGTTGTGGTTAGTAACACAGAGCAGATCTGAACATAATCAATCAGTCTGAAAATGATCCACCAGTCATATTTAACCTGAGAGCTAATGCAAGCTAATAGGGTTGATGGGTTAGCTTGCTGGCTAGGTAGCCATGTGGAGTCGATCACCGATCTGTTAGGTCTAAAATAAAATACGAGTACTGCTACTTAAAAACCCAAAGGGTGGTACCCTGATACCTTCAGTGACCCTTAACGTATAGAGTCGATATTTAATATAAAAGCTTTTTTACTCACGCAGACGGCTAGGGTCCAGTGGTAGTTCAACACCGGTAAAGTTCACGACAACGTCCGTGACCGTAGTTCACAAGCATCCACCCACTTACCCCCAACTCTTCCGCTGATTGGCTCATGTTCATCAGGTTTCGACTGCCATTGGCTGAAGTCACGGCATGGTCTTCCCGTTCCCGGTGACGTATGATGAAGTCCATTCGTTGGACAGCAGCTTATTTCAGCCTGAATGACATTCCAAGGGTACGCCTAGTTTGTGAGCAGCAGCGAATGAATGAATCTACACGATTACAAAACGAGCGAGGCACATTTGATGAAAAACACCAACAAACATGACAAAAACCCACAAACGGGGTACATGGAAAGTAATTTAAATCTCAAAAGAAGGAGTCAGTGGGATGAACATTTATTTGTTTGCAGACACTGAAGCATTTCACAGAAAATCGTAACCGGCTTTTCATCTCAAAGCCTGTGCACAAAGTGATGGGCACATACAATAAGATACTGCCTCAGGTACAAAAGAAAAAAAAAAAAAAAAAAAGCAACAACCCTGAAATTTAAAAAATGGAGTGGGGCTTAAAAAGAAAAAAAAAAAAAAGGAATTTCTTACAAAGGAAAATTACAACCAGCCTCAGATTTTAAAAGTACCAAGAAAAATTAAACCAAATTCAACTCTGGGGAAGTGAACATAGTATTTAATGTCAGTCTAAGGCACTTTATTGCAAATTTAAAAAAGCTCCGTATATAGAAGTAATACGGCTTTATCCCAGTTCCAATCCTTAACACCTTTCCTCTACTTTACCTACTAGGTTATATCGCCTCTTTAATTCTGGAATAAATATGGCCTTTTGATAATCAGATTACTGCTACTGCCATCCTGACACTGTTTGAAAGGAAACACCGAGCCAAGCCGAGGGTGAAACTGGTATTGTGCTTAAAATAACTGTTGTTTTTTTTTAAACAGAGACTTTGTCATGTTCAATGCTATTAACTGAGACTTGGGAAATACTGTTTAGGGCTCTAGCTTGAAATAAACCAGGAGGACTTCACAAACACAGCCTGTCTTACCAGGTATCAACAAAATGCAGCGCTGCATCACATTCTATGGCAAGATCATCATCTGCAAACATTTGAATCTTTATGCTGAAGCACCAGAGGAGATTATATTCAACACCCCTCAGAGGAACGTCTAAGTGTTGTTCTGTTATGTCTACATTCATCTTTAACTCCCTTTTTAGAAACACCATCTCAAATCATTTACCTCAAATTTCTACAAATGTTGCAAATATAAGCAATTCAGCATCAGAGAGAGATAAAAAAAAGAAAAAACACAGTCAGCGATCACATTAGGAGCACCCGTTGGTTGAGTGAGTATCCAAACAAGACAAACTTTGGCAACAACTCCATGTATAAAAGCCTATATACGACTGTTTTGTTTTTTTTAAACCCAAAGAAAAAAGTACTGCAATTCTCCATTTGTCAGAATGTGTTGAATAAAATAGCAGCAATGCAAAGCATAAATTGTTGCTCATAAACAAAAACAAAATAAAAGGTCTTACAGATGTTTTCTGCTGCATCATTCCAAAAGGAGGAGAATCTGATCAGTGCAAAAGATTTAAGTTTTAAGGGTGTAAAAAAATGCAGTCACGATGGGAACTTTTGGTGCATCCACTGATCACAGTAGAGCATTTCATTGCCAGGAAGTCCAGTGCCCTCCCATGGTCAACACAGATCCATTCATGACCTCACAGAATCTGAAACATAACCAACAGCTGATATGCAGGAAAATCTACAGCTCCCACTGAGTATTAAAGGTAGGAGAGGAGATTTATTTCCAGCTGAAGCTTAAACCATTTCACCAGGATCAAGTAAAAAATAATTACCAGTGACACAAAGTTAAACTGGTTAAGGCAGTTTTCAATAGAGGAAATAAGTTTATTAAGTCAAGAAAAAGAAAAATGGCTGTAGATTCATTCTGGGAGAGAGAAAAAAAATGCTTGTTGTGATGGGAGTTAAAATAAAGAAATCTTCACTTAAGTCCTGTGTGTTGTTACAGCCAGTAAGAGAAATGCCAGGCCACTTTATTTCTGAAAAAAATAAACCACAAAGAAAAAAAAAGGGAAAAAAGAGAATTAGGAATTGAGAATTGAGTGGAGTGTCAGAGTTGCAAACCTGCAGCAGAGAGGTGGAACTGCGTGCTTTTCAGCTTTGTTCAAACCTAAGAAGACTACTGTGGTAGGGTTGAGAGCAGAGCCTTTTAAATCCTGTAAACCTGAAGTTAATCTTCTTGATGACAAGAGGATACAATCCAAGTGTCTGCGATGCTTTAATTGGATGAATGGTCAACGCTTTCCAACAGTAAGATGTTTTTCAATTTCCCCTTTACACCTTTGCTAGTATGTACAGTCTCACTAATCAATTGCTTTGAACCGAGTCTTCATTACTGAATGAGACAAGATCCATGACTTTACATACTGCAGGACAGAGCTGTCGGGTTCAATTAATATCCAATTGAGGGCTGAGTCCTTTCATTTTTTCAGACAGTTTGAACAGAAGTACACTTTCTTCTGTTATATACTTTAAATCACAAGAAGTTACAGCTGGCAGCAAACAGCTTTGCAGCCTCAACACAATCCACTCAGGATTAAGCAATCGTCTTAATTACTTTAAATCACTTTAGATGATCAAATTAAAGACGTGGATGGAATGCAGCCATTTTTTCCCAAAATTTAGGAGAAAAATTCATCTTCAAAGTTAATTTGCCCATCACAGCCTCTTGAGCTTTCAGAAATACCAACCTTTCATTCAGGATGCTCCCATGTCCTTAGTTTTTGCACACCCTTCTTCATCATAACCATCTGGGTCCACGGAGTGAAACTCTGCCACATACAGGCTCTTGTCGATGCTGCTGGGGATGGGCTTTATGTCAGTAACCAGCTGGTCCTCGATGGTCTTCAGGTTGTAGCGATCGTCTGAAGTTATCAGATTGATGGCCAGACCCAGGTGACCAAAGCGTCCTGTGAGGAAAGGCGGTGTGTCAAGTTAACCTGTTTTTTGGGGGGGATTTTCAGAATAGTCGGTTTAAATAGATCCATTACTTGAGAGTGTGATATGCTGTTATTTACCTGATCGGCCGATACGATGCAGGTATGTCTCGGCATTTTTGGGGAAGTCAAAATTGATGACGACATTTACTGCCTGGATATCAATTCCCCGAGTGAACAAGTCTATGAAAAAGACGTTAGTGTCAACATTAAAGTCTGGGGGGAAAAAGTATATATATATATATACTCCCCACATTTCAAAATGTACATGCCCCTCACTTACCTGTGCAGACAAGGTTTCTGCACAGACCATTTCTGAAGTCATGGAAGACACGATTCCTGTACTCTTGCATCATCTTTGCATGAATGTAGAAGCATGAGTAGCCCAGCTGTGTTATTTTCCTTGCCAGAAGCTCCACTCTTTGAGTGGAGTTACAGAAGATTATCGACTGATTGATCTGGAGCTTTAAGACAAAAGATTTTACCAGTATTTAATACTGAAATGCCTTAATGCCTCATGTGAATTAAACTCAGTCAATGTTGCCAAAACATTTCATCATTAATCTGCTATCAAATTATTCTGGTATTAAGTTTAAATAATCAATGTCAGCATCGTTTTTAAGTTGATAAAAAATAATCACTTGTGCAATAAATGTGCTTTGAACTCTCACCCTGGAAAAAAGTGTGTTGAGACAGTGGACTTTCTGCCTTTCAGTGACATAGGCATAGTACTGAGTAATGCCCTTCAGCGTCAGCTCCTCCATCAGGTTGATTTCATAAGGCTTCTGCAGGTGCTTGTTCTGGAAGAAAAGAAAAAAACGTTTCAGAGCATACAACGATGCTCACAAGAGATGGTTTCTGTTTTTATCTGAATAAATACTTTAACTCACCATGAACTTCTGCACGCTAGTGGGGAACGTGGCAGAGTAAAGCAGAACCTGACGATCCTTTGGTAAGAAGCTGATAATATCTTCAATCAGGACCACAAAGTCCTGAGACAGCAGTTTGTCTGCCTGAATACAGTATTGTTTATGGGACGCATTAGAAGATGACCAACTTTAATCATCGGCCAACAATTGCAAATAAACGTTTATTAAACCCACTTCATCCATCACTATCATTTGGGTCTTATTCACTTTTGCAACACCCTTCTTGATCAGGTCGAGTATTCTGCCTGGTGTTGCAATCACTACATGAACTAGAGAGAACACAAACATCACGTCATGACAAGTCCACAGAAGAAGTCTCAGGAAATTTGCACTTTAGTCAAATAGTCATTGTAAAAATCATGAGGTTTTACTTTCGGTTAACCGTAAATGAATGCTTGTTTATCTTCGGTATGAAAACTAAGATAATTATCAGCATTACCCGTCTCATCAAGGCGCAAAATATCATCCCTCAAGTTGGTTCCACCTGTGGTTGCCATAACTTTGACCCCTCCCAGGTGCTTGCTTAGCTGAATACTGATCTGGCTCATCTGCAGGGCCAGTTCTCTTGTTGGTACCATTACTATGGCTGAATGGAGACAGAAATGGGAGGGGCTGGTGAAATGTGAGGGTTGATGAAATGCATGGAGATAGTGTGTATACATCAAGAACAAAAGTCAGACTGCTTGACATCAAGAAATACTGATGAGTTACAAAAGTGACACTGACCAACTAACCCAACAAATGCAATGTGCCTGCATGGATCATTTCGATTAGTCCCAGTGTTACTGCTGCTGAAACTCACCCTGTATGTGATCTTTCTTCAGGTCTATCCTCTCCAGGAGAGGGATGAGGTAGGCTCCACTTTTTCCAGTACCGTTCTTGGCCCGAGCCAAAATATCTCTCCCTGAAAGTGCAATGGGGATGCTTTCCTCCTGTTGAGACAGAGATAAACTGCAGTCAGTAAACTGCTAATTGGATGAAACATAGGGGCAATAATCAAGACAAAGCAACATGCAAATGAAGAGATGAATGTTCACACTTTGTTTGCTTTGACCACAGCACTGATTGTCATCAGTTTCTGTTTTCAGGCGATATGCCTCACTGTAAACTGCAGATCTATGATACTCGTTTTTTTCAAGGGGCATTAACGCCTGAAGCAAGTACAATTGCAAAAGTTAACACAAAGATGTCCACACACTCAGTATAAGAACTGCCAGTCAAAGCTGTTTTCAAACGATAATGGGACAAAATATCTACTGTAAATGACCATTTAGTAATTGATTTCAACAATAATTGTTAGAAAATGGAAATGCATATTGAAGATAATATTCATATTTCAGAGATCATAGAATCTAAACTCATTTTTAGCTAACATGTGGATCCATAGCCTCTCCCAGGAAGAGACAAACAGAAACGTAACCCCTGACCAGGAGGCCACGGACAACAGCCTATGACATTCAAACTTAACTCCAACATTAAGAAAGGTCACTGTCTAAGGAAAGAAAAAACTCAAAATTGTTAAGTGTGTTCATAAGCAACACTGGGAGTGCTGGTGAAACTGGGAGTATTTGCGAAGTAACATCTGCTCTATGTGCGTAGAAACATTTTTAAATAACAAATCATTGGTCTCATATACAGTTGTGTTCAGAGGGCTTTAAATATGTGGAGGGCCCCAACAAGATGTCAAAGGAGGGCAACTGCAGCAGCTGAGGGCAGAGCAGCTGTCTGCCAACTGACAGTCTGTCAGTGGATCCCCACTGTTGCACAGTCAATGTGTAAGAGAAAAAGGACTGTTGTAGCTTTTAACACTGATGAGACTAAGAGGTGACATAGTTTTGTGTGTGAATATGTATAGACCATGTTGATTTGTCAAAAACACTTGAAAATGACTAGTGCATACAGACACTACAGGAAGCAAATTACAGTGATACTCCCACCAAAAAAAACACCAAATTGATGCCCTCAAAGTTAGATTTATACAGCCAGATGACAATATAGTCGATTGACTCTGAACCCCAACTTTATGTTTACATGTCACAGTTTTTACATTAAACTAGTACAGCATGAGTGTACACAGTCTAAGAGCTGGTTATTCACATCATCTTTCTTTTGTCAGTTGGTTCTAAGAGATTTAATGATAGAGTCACTGTTAAGGTAAATCAATGGCAACATCTGTGAACTCACATTTACAGTGACCTGTTGGGACGAGCAGAATGTCTTAAATGTTTACCGACGCAGTTCACACAGCAAACATACTTTAAACATTTACCACATTCTGACCTGTGAATTGACACTCAAAAGAATGCAACTACTTTATGTACCTGAATAGGGGAGGGTTTCTCCCAACCCATTTCAAAGATCCCCATTAGAAGCTCTCTCTTTAGGCAGTAGTCTTCAAATTCATTTCCTTTGGTTGATGTCACATCCTAAGAAACGAAGAGCAAACACTGGAAGTTAGTGTTTAATAAGATGCAAAACATGGCAAGTTAACAGTTACAAGTAAAACTGAATCCAAGGATTATTTTTACACCAAGCTACAAAGGCAAATGTTGTGTCTTCTCAGGTCCAAATGTAAAAAAAACCTCTAACTAAGGCCATATAATCAGCCATAACGGAAGATAACTTGCCAGTACAATAGGGGACAGCAGCATGTCTGTTATATAAAAAAAAGATACTTGAAGCACTCTTAAACAAACACCTTGCTTAGCATTTTTTCCTGTAAAGTAAAACAAAGCACAACCATCAATTGTTTGATGCCTTTTACACTCCACATGCACATATTGTTTAAGTGTTCTTGTTTTGGAGATATGACGTGACAAACCAGAAGAGAATGGGTGCAAAATACATCAAAGTTCGCTTTCGGTCATCACTGCAGCATCCCCAGACCAGATTATGATAACAGAAACAGGATGCACATAACAAAAATATAAGAGGCACTTCTCACTGACACACCACATATGCTCAACAGGCAGTTGTTGACTCTCTTAAAACTATTTTTGGAGTCACAAAACCAAATCTGAAAAATGAACGCCTTACCGAAGTTTTCACTCTGTTGTCTTTTGGTGGAAGCTCCAGGCAGTTCCTCCAGTCATCACCAAACCTGTCAGAAAGACATCTTAATTACGTTTTTTGCTTGTGCTGAGATCATAACTTGTTGTCATGAAGCGATAACACCAGTGTGAAATAATTTTTTTTCAACAGGAAAATTAGACTTGCGAGTTTTGCGGCTTTAAGAGGAATGTGTATTGTACTTGGATAAAGCCAAATATTTTGTGGTTCAAGTAGTTTAAGGTGCAAATGAAAATGTGAAGAAAAAACTCAAATTTGAATAAATGAGTATCTCACTTGATGCCTCCGCTGCTCTGAGGAATACCGGTTCTTATCTGGGGGAAACCTGGCTGTTGAGCAGTTGAAAGGGGTCCTGACTGCTTCCCAGCTGGCTTGGCCTGCCCCTTGAGCTGCCCATTTGCCGTTTTGTTCAAACCAATCATCAGTGATGGGTTTGCCGTTCTCGCAGTAGCCATGGATTCGATACTTGATTAACAATTCTTCAGATCATAAGATTTGTGTCTGCTGCTGAAAAAAATAAAAGCTTTCTCTTCTGCACAGCTTTAAAGAGTTAACAGTGTACAAAATATTGAGACTTCTTGAAATGAAGTTAGAATAAGTATTCTATTTACAAAACCACTCTCCAAAAAATGAGAGATAAACAGCCATAAATAACAAAAATATTACGACAAATATTTGTCACAAAATATTTGTTCTAATGTGCCCTTAATAATAACCCTAATATAATCCTAATTTTCCTTTATTTTCCACCATATAAATTTGAGTGCTTGGTTTATACATCCAAAATGGCAAGTGACAAAATATGACCCGCTGCGTTGCTTGTCAACTTTTGATTCATTACTTTAACTTCATATCCAGATGAGTGGTTGTTTAAGCTCAATACTGATTTTAGAAAAAAATGTTAGTTTTTTTTCAGCATGCAATATCTAGATCTGGAACTGAGCACAAGATCCCAACGACAAGTGTTATCTTGTTCTTGTGTTCTGCGGAAAAACAGATGGATTGGCTGTCTGCAAAGGGCTCTGGTGATTTCTGGTTAAAAAAAACAAAGAAAGAAAGAAACACACACAAATTAATAAGGAAAATTTTAAGACAATGACTGTTTATATTCTTATTTATCATTTCAATTGTTTGGAATTGATGTTAAAATGATCTTGTTAGGCTAATCAAACAATAATTTCTATATGCTTCCAAAGTTAAAACAAGTAATGCCAATATTAACGCAATATATTCGTGAATGTGGATAGGCTTCGAGTCATCCAACGCTGAAATTCAAGCCGAGGCAACAACTAGAGCATTAACCTGTTGGCATGGTATTTTGGACGTTTGGCTTTCTTTTAACGCCAATACAATATGTAAAAAATAATAATAAAAAAAAACACTCCATAGGGAACGTTGAAATTTCTTGTTTAGCAACGTGGCTTCTGCCTTTCAACTCGCAGGCTGGTGTTGAGTTCAGCGTAATTCAAATCGTATATCAATTAACACTACGGACTCGAACACCGTGAGCGAATAGGTTGCCATTTGTTAGTCCACTATTTGTTTGTTTGTTTGTTTGTTTTTGTCAACCAAAATCAATGACTATGGTAGCATGCTAATGTTTAGCCTATATCTAAGTTAGTGTCTTACCCGTCTTAATTGACGTTAAAGTCGAAGACTTCAGAAATTACCCTTCACAGTCGAGACAAAAAATAGTCAAAGACTTACCCGTTGTGTTCTGAAATGACGTTTAATCGGCAGTTCAGGTAAGCTTGGTTTGCTATTTAAGAGAAAAGCGCCGAGTTAACACTCTTTTGTCCCTTCTTTCAGAATATTGACAATTCAATATGGCCGCGCGCTCGTTTTTGGATTGGTTCTGTGCCTCAAAGGATCATCAAACTGACCAATCACAGGTCTGCTTTCAAATTCTCAAAAGTTGTAATGGGACAAAAAGGCAACATGACAAGTGAAGGTGTGGGACACAATTTATATTAAAAAATATCTACAACTTTTCACAGGTAGAAATAAACTCATACTATATAAACTCAAGCACAACCACAAAGATACCAAGGTCAAATTTAAATATTCAAAATATGGAACAACAACAATTTGATACCAGAAACAATTATTAAACTCTGGGTATACCCTTATGGTGAAGACACTACCGATGTCAGTAGTTCAGGTAAGGCTATGTGTCTTTTGACTATCTTCTGTTCATTACACAGCCACATTCATATTTTCCTCTTTTATATTATTTCCTTTTTAGCAGGTATGCAAGGGTTGCTAAGCATGGCCATTTCGGGAATTTACCAATAGGTCTATGCCTTGGCAACTTCACAAACATACATTATCTACCATATTTATATGCAGTAGCACACTCTCAGTTCATTGAACAAGCATAAGAAAAAGTCACTGAAGACGCTGAGCTCTCAAGAGGTGTCCAAAACAGCAGCTGTATCAGCAGAAAGGCTTGAGGATTGCCGGTAAGGTATCAAACCCCAAGGAGGGTGACCAACTTGACTGTCTTTGATTTGTAATTTCGGTGATGATCTGGTCCGATATGACATTTGATTAACCCTTCTTTGACAGAAGTTTGGTTGTCTCTTTGATGCCAGGCCTTGTGGAGGTAGTTTCAAGTTCCACTGAGAGGTAATACTGAACTAGTTAAATGGATAAAAAGTGTGTGAAGTCTCTGGTGAGTGGGAGGCACTGTGATGAAGAATGTGGGGTGTTGTCAAAGGTGAAGATCCACGACTGTGATTGGGAGATGGGGATCCTAAGAGAGAAACAAAGGGTGAAAATTAAGTACTGCACTGTTTGGTGGCTTTGTTCACCTGTCAGTGATCTTGTATGCATTTTCTCACCCTTTTGCATGGCATTACTCCTCTTTGGTGAGATACACATTGAGTTTTGATCTTGAACTCTGGTCAGCTTGGAGCTTCTCCCTCGTAACACATCCGCTATCTAAAAAAAAAAAAAAAGTTCATAAAGCTTTTGGGAATAACCTCCCCTGAATAATAAATCTTGAGTCAAACAGTATAGCACTAGTAGAAGATAAAACCCTACATCCTTTACATTTGGTCCACTAGGGGGAGGAATACACATTATCTTTCAGAATCGTGTTTAAACTGCTTCCTCCTTACTCCTAATTTGAGCTGAGTAAGCCAGGTCTGCATTTGTTCTGTTGTAACCTCACTAAATATACGGGATTTTCCAACCTACAGTCGTTGTGAAAGACTGAAAGTTTCGACAGGGGTGGGTCAATCAGGGAATCATACACAGACAATTTGGTCTTTGGGGTTAAGCTTTGCTAAAAGGGGCACAACCAGGATGAACTAATACTTTGTGACACTGTTTTCAGAGAGCTCAATAACATTGAAAAATATTATATGCTCTGTCATCTCCTTACTTCTTTGTTTTTGGCTACCATCACGGGGGTATCGTTGTGGTAGTTCTTCAGGCTGGTGTCAGCACCACTCTTCAGCAGCAGTCGCACCGTATCTACCTGGCCACGGCCACAGGCAATGTGCAGGGCTGTGTTTCCGCTGTATGACTGACTGTTGACATCACAGCCATTCTGTGACAAAAAAATGGAAGACGGTGATTCACAAAGAAATACAGAGAAGACGCAGTTCAACATAACAAGTAAAACTAAACAGAGCCATGACGAGGCCCAGCCGGATTAGATGGAGATGAAGCACAGAAAATGTTGGGAAATATTATGGAAAGAGAAAACATCAGTTTCTCAGCATAGAATACAGCTCTTTAACTCTGAAAGTACAGGTAATTCAGGGATCTTAGCAAAAGTTCTTCAATTGTCCAATCAATTAGAAAATAGTTAAATACTTTATGAGCTGGAGAGGGAAACAAGCCTTGTTAAACTCAACTGAGTCTCAGCTTTTCTCTCTCCTCTTCCCACTGCCCACACATACTCATTACCTCAATCAGGAAGTGGACCATGTCTGCATTATTGCTCTCCACAGCATGGATGAGAGGACTCTGACCACTCTTGATGTCCTGATTAGACAGGGGGGAAAATGAAGCATTTGAAAGGTGTAACTTGATAAACATGTCGTTCCTGTTAAGCTTTAGATCTAAAATACTGAGATGATGTACCAGGGACTGACCATTGCATTGATGTTAGCTCCTGCGTCCAGCAGCATTTTAGCCAAATCCTGGTGACCTTTTCGCACAGCCAAATGGAGAGGGCTCAAACCTGCATACAGCAATCCAAGGTTGAGTTTTCAAAAACACATCCTGGAACAGTGTTGAAAATATTTTAGTGACAGTTATTGTCGTTAAGAATATATTCTGAAATCAGCTAATTCAGGCGATTCACTGTGTTGGCCATTTAGACTATGTTTAGAATATGAAATATGAAACATTTATACCAAGACTACATCCAAAAAGGCTAATGCAAAAAGACTGAGAGAAAATCAATGGAGAAAAGGATGTTCATGGCTAGTTCCTTGAAATTATAAGTAGCACTGTATGAGTGCCTTTGGAAATGAAAAGTATATCAAGTGCTTTGTAGAACAAGGTTAAAAGTTATAAAGGCACTGTATAAGAGGGAACAACCTGAACTCTCTCTTATGCTCACAAATGTCACTGAGATCTCCTGGCAAAGGGAGTCCACATCTCAGCTGCTTTTGGGACAAACATACAACGACTTCCAAGTGCTAAAGATTAATCAGACCACTGTTTCCAGTGAAAGGCACAAAGTGTTTTGGATATATATCAACTTTTGAGGATATTCTTTTATTTAGACTGTAATTTGTCATTCAACAATTACAGGCACATCACAGCAGATAAACAGTCATTTATAAGAGTTTATTAGACTGACGAATGTAAGGAGAGCGGCTTAAGAGTCATTCAAAATCTCTCCTTGGTAAAGTACACCCCATACAATAGACGCCTCTTCAAAATATCACAACTTACCCTCAAAGTTTCTTATCTCGAGGGATGCTGAGGATGGGGACAGAGAGAGCACCACAGACAGGCAGTCACGCTGGTCATATTCACAGCAGAGATGCAATGCTGTGTGGCCATGGCGGTCTAAGGCGATGGGGTCAGCACCGGCTCCCAGCAAGGCCTCCACCATGCTTGGTTGCTTGGTTATCACTGCCAGATGAAGGGGCGTCTGAGAAAGAACATCGTCATATATGAAAGCTTAGACAGACAATTGGATTTAGGGCCACAACATAAAATCTGCATATACTGCCTGTAAAAATTTCCAGCAGCCTCTCCACTGTACACATGCCACTGCTGCAATGCATAAGACATACGTATTTTTAGAGGCGATAAATTATTAAAAAATATTTTGCACTACAAATACAGGCACAGCTTCACAAATGGCAGTGATCACTAGATGGCAGTCTTCTTATCACTAATGCTATTCTCAGCTGTGCTACTCTCATAGCCATCATGCCCTTTTCTTCAAATCTGGCAATAATCAGATTTATTTGCATTTGAATTTACATGTGTCATTGTTTTCAAACAAGAACGTTTTTACGATGCCTGAAAAAATCCGTATGTATATGGGAACTAGCAAGGCATAGCTTAACACAAAGACTGTTGTCGGAATATTGTCCAAAATCACATAGATTAGACATTTGAAATCACAAACAAATGTACACCAATTTCAAGGAAGTGTGTAGAGATTTCAAGAAAATATCTCCTATTACCAGTAACCCGTTTAACAGGTTAAAAGGCAGTGATACACAAAAAGATTAAAAATACTCCAAGGATGTGACAATCATAGGCAATGGCCAAATCCAGTAAGAATATCAATATTATCATGGCTCCGGGAGCTTGAAGATAATCCTATACATTATATATATATATATATAAACACAATTTATCCATACACCTAGTTCATAATCATCAGCTATTAAATCAAAGTCCAAAAACATCTACCTCAGAAGAGACCTTTGCACCACATATCACAGAACAAACAGTGTGACACATCAAAACGAGTATCTTTTCTCTATCCAGGGCAACGGAAGCTAGGATCAAATATGCAAAACACACCAGTTTTCAGCAGTTTGTTAATAATATCTCTTTAACAGTCCTCTGGGTGAGGTCAGTGTGAATCATGCTGTTGATTGTGTCAAACATGACAAGAAGAATCCTGCTATTTTAAATCAAACTATTTTTTGCAGTTTCACTTTTGCAACATGGCTAATGTGTGCGTGTGACTTCCAGTAACAACTTTTTTTGATTATTGGTCTAACAGTGGAGAGTGTGTCTGTAGAATTCCTCTGTTGTGTCATTGTGTTCCTCCCTTTCGCTCCCGTTTCCCTGAATTGTGTGACTCACCTGTGGAAACACACAAACGTGCACAGCTGTCATCGCCTGAATTTGCTAATAACAGGCAGAAGCCAATTGGGAAAGGTCTACGCCGGCTCTTAATACTCTATGTTTCAGAATGTTACCGAAACCCAATCTGACAGAGCAATTAACTTCACATTCTTTAAAGAGCCATGTCGGGTGAGATGACCTATACTAGGGCAAATGATGTTCCCCTGTTTAAGTAGAGTCAAAGTACTGATCTGCGTTAACCAAAAGAAAACAACAAAGAAGACTGCTGTAACTATTAGGATTGACTTCAGCACTGTCCATCACATTAAATAAACCTTGATGTACAGTGGTTAATCATTATTTTTGAGGACATGCATTTAGAATAAAATCTCGAATGAATGTGACGTTTAGTAAAAATCAAATCAACCGTAGACACTCGTACTTGTGTTTAAAAGACAAGAGAATTTCCACATGAAAAATGTTTGGAACCATGTCTTAACAGCTGTGAAGCCTTAAAAAAACACTTATCAACCCCCCAAAAACTACAGTTTGCTTGAAAGCATTTATATAGGACTGCTAAGCAGAAAAAATAATAATTCAGATTTACCCTCTTCCCATGTGGTGGGGGCATGATCTGTACTTGTCATGGATACTTCTTACTATACAAGGCAGTCAAATTTTCATTATATGAGATTGTTTAGATAATCAAGTCAAGTCCAACGGTTCCATAAAATGATTTGGTCAGCTGACTACAAGATTATTCCAAATGACCAGGATTTCCCATCAATAGATTTATTGGACACATATTCCGACGAGTCAACGATAGCAGTTTTAAGCTTAAATCATAAAAAAGGGTTAGGGATTATGCCAAAGTGAGTGTGTGCCGTAAAAGGGTCCAAGTAAGTTTTACTTAGTTTTACTTAAGATGAAAATATAAATGGTAAATACGACGCATCATCATCTGATGTTTCCACTGAACCCAGTATCCAATAGTGCGCATATGGAATGGAGTTTTTCTGTCTTTGTTTCTCACAAAAGTTACAGAGGATGTGTCAAAAGCATTTCTTTATTTTGACCATCCAACAGAAGCTATGCTTTATAAGTTTTGCTGCCTCAGTTTTTTAAAGAAACCGTTAAGATGTGCGCAAGGATGGTAGCTCTATCAATAGATACACACACTGTGTGATATTGTGTGCAAGCAGTTTGATGTTAACTTGTGTTTATGTCAGGTACATACACTTTATGAAATACTTTTCTTTACCAACATCTCCCCCATCCCCAAACTCCTGCCTAAGATTTTACCCATTGTCCTCCTCACACCAAAGGAATTCTCTGTGTTAAGTCATTCCGAGAACTAAGAAACCACTGTCCATACTAAAGCCATAAAAGGCCTTCAAAAAGGAGTTGGCAGACTGGTTTCCTGTAAAGAACTTCAGAGTGACTAAACAAAAATTCTGAACAGATAAGAGGAAGGGTGAAAAGGGAGTGAATTGGGAGTTGGAGAGAGGAGACAGGAATGAGGAAACATAGAAGGAGAGGGTAGTCCTGGGGAAAGTCAGGATACTTAGGGGAAAACCCTTCGCTTTCCCATGGGTCTGTCCTCTCACACTTGCATTCCTGCACAATTAGCTGATCAACATGAATGTGGTAAAATGATGAGAACAGTAGAGGTTTATGGGCATGAAAACAGCCTGAAGGAGACAGTGTCAAATGCACAGTTCTTTTCTGCAGAGAACACTGCATAGTGAAGTCAGTCCTATTTCACAAATAAACATCAGATACAATTACATCAGAGTTGTTCGCAGTTATAATGATAGCATCAGTTCATGAGCTTTGGTTAGAAACTAAAGTGTCAAAAGACGTCTGCAGTGACGGGTGTAAAAGACAATAGAGAGAGAGTGCGACTGACAGCGAGGCACGCGCAGGAAGGGAAAGTCCCTGTGCACTACCCTCTGAACCTCAGCACAAGGTATGTTGAGAAACAGCACAGCGCAAAGCAGGGGGAAGGGAGGAGGGTCATGTGACTTCTCGGAACAAGAATACTAAAACTCACATAAACACAGACGGATGTGTCGTTTGTGCATGAACATGAACAAGCCCGCACACACACACACACACACACACCGAAAAATAGCACACCTCCAACCTACCAAAAGCAGACTGAAATTTTTTTATGAATTGTTACATTACGGTCAGTATCACAACAATAGGTTGCACACATAGCTGTCTTACAATCTAACGCACATGATCAAGGGAGATAGATTCCGTGTAGGTGGCCCCAAAGGGATTTGGTCACCAAATCAATGTAAATGACATGCACACCAGTATCAGCTGACAGCAGCAGGAGCAGCAGATCGGAAGAGGGCCACTGTGTGCTCTTATGGCCACATTGATAGCATGACCGGCGTGGGAGTTTCAAACAGCTGTCTCCAAAAGCATCATAGTGGAAGGCAATCATCCAGAGACACTTGCACTGTTATAATATGTAATAACAGTAGTGATAGTAACACTCTGTCAAAAAGTTCCACAATCAAAGCCACAGAAACTCAGGATCTGATACCAATATTGGGAAGAAAAAATAATTTTCCATGTGTATGGCAAAGTGCTGGAGAAATTTGTGCGCTCTTTGTTTGGTTACCTTAATTTTTTATAAGTTCAAAGTTTCCTGCCTTTATCTAAATAACAATGTTCTTCACGTCTTGTCGTCAGTCAAAACCACACAATCTGGTAGGCAAATGATGGTGATGGGACCAGTCTCTGTAAATATCCCCCTTTGACTGCAATTGACAATGACACTAAATGTCGATGTGTGTGTGTGTGTGTGTGTGTGTGTGTGTGTGTGTGTGTGCGCGTGTGTGCGCGTGTGTGTGTTTGTGTGTGCGTGTGTGAAAAGGCAGTTTGTGCATATTTGTCGAGTGTGTTTGGGCATGCGTTTTCCTTTGCAGGTTTAGGTACAGGATATCACAAAACCTAGTCTGTCAAGTCTCAGTGATAAGGAAACAGAAGAACTGATGATAGCACTAGCGTTATTTCTGGTAAGTGTGCCTGCAGCGTCCTGTGTGGTGTGACACCCCAGCCATGAGAACTACAGCTCAGCACAACTCAGGTGCTTTCTCTGTAAAAGGATAATAGAAAAAAGAGACAACTGGTAAAGAGCAAATAAAGAGGACAATGAGGCTGAGACAACAAAGAGGGAGAGAACGTGGAAGCGTTGGCTTAAAGCCAGTAGCTGGGACAGCCCGGGATTGGGAAATACTCAAAGGCCATTCCTTTTTGGCATTCCAGTAAATCTAAAATTACATAGCTTTTGTTTCTTTTGAAGTTACTAAGTAAGGACCTGAGGGACACCATCAATTCTTAGTTTTTGTAAGGAATTCCTTGACATTTAAGTGTAGATGCTTTTAATATATTCATAATTTGTATCAATGCAGTCTGCCAAAACTCCTAACTCTTTATACAACTGGAAATACACAACTTCTACAATGTAAATTTTCAATATCTTCATTTATACTCACTTGAGGACATTACGTGACCTTTGAGAACAAGGTGGTTCTAGAATAGCAGTATTGTCAACACCTCTAATCTTGGTGTCTTCTGAATTACACAACATGGGAAAGCTTGGAAATAAACCTTGAAAAATCCCTTTCAATAAGGAAGGTAATCTCTTGAGAACCATATACAAAATAAAAGTGAGCAAAAAGCACGCAGAGTCCTTCCCAGAATGAGCAATGATTTGGTTTGTGGCGAGTGCTGGTGGAGAAAGCAGAAAGGGTGAATTCAAATACATAAGCCTCAGCTGCCATGACTGTAAACGTGTGTGATAACATAGTTCATGGCAAGGAGGAAACTACCAAACTTCCTGTTTCTTTCCCTTCTATGTTACTGTTATCAGGAGGCTTGGGGTTTGACAGTCAGACATAGCATCTGCCACAAAAATGACCTGATAACTACATTTGGTGGCGTTTTTTCAACTTTTTAATTGTATAAGAAAAGGTAAATAACATTAACTATTTTAATTAATAGCTGAAAATTCTTATTTAGTCAAAAAAACTATGGAACTCCTTCCAGGAGGTAATTAAACTTACTGTGTGAAATATTTTGATAGTGATTTCCATTCCTCTGTTCCTACAGTTAGCACCAAGAACAAACTAAAGTGTTGTTTTAAGGGAAACTTACAAGTTGACAAAGTGAGACTCCAAAGAATTTGCACTAAAGACCCAAAGAGACATAACTAAAAAGCAAAACATTATCTGGAGTTCTGTCCAGAAATGGCAAACAAACCATCACGAACACCCAAACAGAATAAGAATAATCCACTAAATTGGATGTCATTAAGTGTTTGTATTCAAAGTGTGTTTTCAGTGCCACCATCAATGTGTTTGCCTTACCTGACGGAGATTGTTGTAGATATCAAGGCATCTATGAGCCAACATAAGCAGTTCGACGAGTTTGCAGACAATGTTCAATTCCCCCTGCACCACAGCTATATGGAGTGCTCTGTAATGGGCACAAACAAACAGACAAAAACAGTTAATGAGACAAGAAATAATGTGGTATTTCAAGGGAGGTTTTCTGCCCTTTGAATGGTGACTCAAGTCACAGCAACATGATGGCAGCAACACGGGGCAATTTCAGATTTTTCTGAAAACTTTTCATGGTTTTCATTATGATTGGAGAAAGTCCACTTCTCCTTCTGGTACTAAAGAAACTGTGGCAACAGAAGTCCTACCTTTCCATCCAAATGGGCACATTTGGATGGAAATGTTTGCCATTCTGCAACATTGGAAAAATAACTGTTGCCTTATTATATTTCATGCATGATAGTTAATATGCTATTTCTTTTCAAACATACCACAGGCAAAAGTCATCTGCAAACCACAGTTAAACCTTGAATTGTCTTTGATAAATGGGTGTCAATTAATTACAATTCTGATAATTTTAAAGGCTGGAAACTTTTCAATGAATTATTCACATTCATGTTGCAAATATGAAACAGAGGCCGAGCCTCTTCAACAACATTCACACAATATAATGACATATCTAAATGTTGCATGACAATAACTTCAGTCTTTTCTAATCAGAGGCCACACGATCTCAAAGATCCAACTGTCAGTTGTAGGGTGGATGCATATGCATGACTCATGGTCCACAAAGTTATCACAAAGTCTTATCATGACTAAAGGGGAAACCACTATCTGTGGTCTCTGCTTAAAGCAAGGGAACAAACACAGGCCAGAATTCAGGACAGGGAAGGATGGGAACTGAGGGCATGCCATAGTGAACAAATCAGTAGGGTTTTTTTTTTTAAAGCCATTCTTCTTTCTCATGCTATCATATGAAGCAGCTTCCAGTAAGAGACAGATTTGTTTGATGTCACATCCTGTTGTCGCTAAAAACTGCTGTATTCTTTCTTCTCGATCTTGGTCTATGCATTCAAATATTTAGCCATATGGCTGCATGGTTTCTTACAGGGGCTTTCTGCAGGTTAGCAGACAAAGCTTCATCCAGTGGTAATGTGTGAGGTGCAATTAAGCAACAGGAAACAGTGGTACTTCTTGAGAAGTTAAAGTTAAAAGTGCATTTGCACAAAGTATAAGGTCAAAAGATGTTCAGAATCTGGGAAACGCATTTGCTACATTTCCTTTCACAAAAAGATCCAAAGCATGTGGCGCTTACAGCATTGGCCTCCACTTGGTGAGGGGGAAAAACACACTATACTGTCCACAATAGAAACACATTTAAAAAAACTGCTTAGAACAATACATATTTATGCATTTATATTCATATAGAGTATTCAAAGCTAAGAATGTGAGTATTCAATTACACAACTCTACTGTGCGGCATGACATACTCAAGGGCCAGCTGTGGGTGCAAAAAGCAATTTGGTTATTTGTCTCTGACATCAGAATAAAAAGCAGAAGTTTTGTGTGTTGAATGACGGTTCTTTCCTCAGATGATCCCTTTTCCTGTAACTGAGCGCAGTGCTGTGAAAAAAAATCAGCATCAATAAAGGCCAAGTCAGGTTTACTGTACATGCTAATTAAAATGGTACAACCGGGACTAGAGTAGGAAGTGATGGCATAGCTCGTCTCTCTGAAATAAGCTTGCCGTTATGAGCCTGAGAGAATTCCTTGTGGCAATTGTTGCTCTGTTGAACATAAAGACAAAATGCCAGCTGCAGTTTGACTGAAGTAATACTGAATCAGTGCTGAGCTTACATCCATTAACATTGTACTCGATGGGCAGGCTGGCTTCATTGAGGCCTAAAGTCATGTATATGCAACACTATTCATATCTGCATCCATTTCTTTCCTTTCTCTTAAGATGAAACTGTACTGTTTCTTGTTCCTGGAAGTGGGGCAGACCACAGCCTGAGATAACCCAAGGCACAGCAGCATTGACGCAGAGAGGAGTCCCAAATTTGCTCTGTTACAGACAGCACAAGAGTATGTGTGTGTGAGACAGAGGAAGACAGATGCTGCTGAGAGAAAAGGTATACATGCGGTATCTTGTTTGGTACGGTAAGGGTAAGGAAACCAATGTGACTGATGAGACAGAAGTCTGACAAATTCTGTGGCCTGTAGACCAGCTGAGCGGTGAGGTGAGGTGTCACTTTGTCTGAATAGTAAACAAAAAAGGAAGTTGACTGCCCTACTAACCAGAAATGAAGACTGCACCCTGCTGAGCTAGTCTTTCTGTATGAGAAAAAACAAACTTGAATAAAAAAAATAAGTTTATTGTTTTATGAGATTAATGCTCCCTTTCCACCTACTACTATACTTATTACTTTATTTACTATTACTAAAATTGTAACCACCACATACAGATCATGGTAATACACTTAGTTTTGGTGAACCGTAAGATTTAAAGGTCAGTTCAAGTTGCCATTGGTGAAAAAACACCCATGGATGACATTGCATATTCAGCACTGCTTACATAATATATTTTTTGTTTCAAATCTTCACCTAAATCTTAAAAAAAAAAAAAAAATTGTAAAGTGCCCTAGTCAATAATAACTTGTCTCCACTGCCATACAATGGAATGTGGGTGTTGAGTAATAGAAAGCAGGTCAGAGGGGAGACATGCTGTATGAACAGTAGGGACACACTCACACCATAAACGAGCACCTCATTCTCTTAAGGTTAAATACTGCTTGCTACAACATGATGGCTGACACAATCTGCCTTCCATCTTCTCAACATCACCAGACAGTAACAAGTAGCCTTCCCACTCAGCTTGAGCTAAGATTCTCAATTCATCTGTTGTACATTGCTGAACAAATAAAAAGAGTCAGGATCACCCGATGAGATACATAGAACATGGGCCTACCTTCCCTTTGTGAGACTCTACATATCTGATGCTAAGCAGTTTCAAATCAGATATAAGATTGATGACAATTGGGATTTGGATGTGTACTGAAAGCCTGGAAAAACATCACTTAGGCAAATTTAACAAGATTCAAAACTTGATTTGTATCAGAGCATGGCTCACAATGGGTTGTATACACAAAGCTTTACCTATTTTTGTTACAAGTAATGTGTAAACTCATTGTATAACTGATGATACTGTCAAAATAATTAATTTGCAAACAAGTGATTTGAGTATGTTGGACTTTGGGCACAAAATACATCCAAATTTAGACTTTTGAGTAAAATTGTAATAGAAAAAGAGGGATTATTTAATGTACCAGGGATATGCATTGATTTAAAAAAAAAGCTTTTCCAGTGGACATTTTACAGTGGGACACTGAACAGTTTATTAGGGCAAGACTCACTATATGAATTTTGGTAGTAATGCACACCGGCCACCAATGGTAGACGCTAATGATCTGAACTACTTTTTAACTGTCACCAAAATAAAAGCAGGGGAGCACATCACAATTGTCAGATTTCAGTCAAATGTATCTGGAGTTGAGAGCTTTGACGTTAATGGATGCTCCAACAAAGCAAACATCTAATACAAAAGACCATTACAGGCAAACACTTCCTCTAAAAATTCAAGTGAAGCTATCCCGCCATAAGTTTACCACAACTGTCCAGTTTCATTACAAGTAAACTGCATAGGCAGTTTGAGACATTTTGTGACAACTATAATGATATATGTCACATTTTGCATGATGTTAATCACAACGCTTCCTATCTAAAGACAGTAATAGCCAAACGGACAAGCTTATCAAGACGTTGAATTAATGGCAAATCACTGCATCTTATTTAAAATATTTATATCACTAACTTGTGTTTTATACACTTCTGCAATGTCACAGTATAGGGGATAAAAAAAAATTGCAAACTTTAATGGGTTTTTCAACTGGTTGATTTAAAGCAGAATTAAAAAATTGCTCCAATAATAACCTTATTACCTTTGTAATAACAACATATATGCTTGTGCAAAGACATTTTGGCCAAAGTCTCAACAAGAACTATTTTTCTATAGATCCTACTGATTCCCTGATTTTCCCTGTAGCAACACCATGTGGTCAAACTATTTTTTTACTTAACTACACTGAACTCATTTATTATCACTACTGAGAAGGTAAATCCACAGACTGACTGGAAGAAAGAAGGAATTTGCTGGTAAAGTGAATCAACACGTCTGCAAAGCCTTTACACACAACAGAAAAGCAGAAAAAGACTGAGATGAAGCCGATAGAAAGAAAGCGGTAAATGAGGAAGTGGGGAGCGGATGTTTGGGGTTTTTGAGCCCATTCATTTAAAAACACACAGGAGAGAGAGACAGAGAGAGAGAGACACCTGAGAAAAACCACAATCATGGTAAAAACTGAACTCTCACTGGTTTTCCCGAAACTAAAGGGACTCATTGACGTAAGAGCGAGCGTGAGCACCATCGCCCTCATTATGCACGCACACACACATAACCGCACATATACAGTCTGAGAAAAAAGGACAGGGGGATGAGAATTTTTCTCACTTCAGAATTCACAAAAGCTGAATGCGACCACAAAGCTAAGGTTCTCAACGTTCATGTACTCGGCTTTTAGCTTCTAACCCAGAGAGAGATGTGATAAGGTCCATGTATAATCTTTCATGAGGCCAGTGGGACAAAGAATAAAATATAAGATTATTTTCAGATCTGAAAAGGTAGTCACTTTCAGAGAGGTTATGTTGAGTCCAAACACATGGCGTTTTTCATTCACTCTCAAGTTGTAAATATCTGGGACACTGAGCAGATGTGGCGTGTCATGGGACTTAGGGCCCAACAAGATGTTGGTCATCACGAGGATGCAAATCACAATGATACCTCTTGAAACTACAACATCAAAGAGCCATTTGATTCTTGGACATACTTTGCTTTCAGTCACATGATTGTGAGTGTGCGCCCTTGTGTGTTCTTGTATCAGTTTGTCATTTTGCCTGAGTGTGTGGGTGGCTGCTGAGCCCACACAAATCAGTAAATTAACCATGCGCTTAAGTTTAGTTTTTGCATCCATGCGGCCTCAAGAACAGTGCCCTGTCACTCTCAGCCCCCACCCCACTCCTTAAGGGCCATGTCAACTGTGAATCATAACCTGCTCCATATACATGCCCCCACACCACAGGTGAAAGTACTTTTATCCAGCCTGGCAGTTCAGCCCTAAAGCTGCAGTGTGTTGGATAAGAATCACCACGGATAACAAGTGAATCATGTAAGATCAACACTGAGCAAGATTTCCTCTTAGGAAGTGAAACAACAGTAAAGAATTTCAGTAGATGAGGTCGGAGAATGGGAGGTACTCATTCTACCTGTTCAATACAGAAAGCTAGGTGAGTCATTGAAAACAAAAAAACGGAGGTGATATTCCAGACATTCAGATTGTGCAACCACAAGAGTCAGGTTTATGATCTGTGTTGACTTGTTGTTTGGAGGACCTGCTAAGTTTCAGTTTTCATAACAACACTGTGCTTTTAAAAGGTGAACATACAATTGTATCAAAGAGAGAAAAATTACGACGAAATAGACAGTTCAGACTGTCTATGGCGTAAAATATTGATGATAGAATAGAATATTGATGATCACACTGACATTTCTCAAGCTTTAATATGTTAGAAGTCTGAGATTTCAGAAGCAGAGATTAGGACGGCCTCACCACTCTGCAAAAAACTATGCTGCCAAGAGTTTCAGAGGAACGTATTTTTTTATATAAAGTGCAAAGGAAACTGGTGATCCTAATCTACTGCAAACCAAACCAAACCATCAACAGATTTGAAATGATCTGGGGAAGTGGATATATGATGGACAGTGAATCCCATTCTACAATCAAACTTCACATTGTTAAAAAAAATCAGATGTAGAATATGCTGGATGGGCCAGGGGCAAATGCTGATTAATTCCACAGCTGCAACCTTTTCTATCTTGTAGTCATTAGGTATCTATACTTCGATAAAGCTCTGTTGGAAATTCATGTGGCACTGTGTTGCTTCATGATAATAACCACTGAAATAAACTAGATTAAATAAAGCATTATCACCCACTGGCTTTACTCACTTGTAAGTGGGTTCCCAGTCCTGGCTGTACCTGCCTTTCCATTGTGGTAGTTTCTGCCAGTATTCTGTTGGAACCTGTGTTGTTCAGTTTGTGAATTCACGATCTCTCAAAAATCCTCCCACTTTTAATCACAGATAAACAGTAAGGCCAATGAGAGGTTAGCCTGCATTTTACCCACTTGATCGACATCGAACACAGTCCATATGACCGCAGCCTGACTGTAATCAGAGTATGTGAGTTCATAACCAGATGTGTCATAGATGAGTGATGCATCTATGACGATACCTGAGATACTGAACAATATGAGCCTTGTATATTTCAAAGAAAAAAATATAACTGCAATGCAATGTGGTATGGAGGCCTGCCAGGATTAAAGAGCTGTCAGTATCTGAATTCATTGACCAATTATGAAACAACAAAAAGAAACACTTGAAAAGAGGTCTCAGATTGCTAAAATCCCAAGAATGTAAAACTTTTTTTAAAGTTTCAAATGATATGGAGTCATGAAAGAAGAGGGGACATGACACCGGAGTTAACGTGCCCTTTTGCCTTTATGTTTAAAAATACCACTGTCACCAAACTCAAAGTTACCATAGATTCTGTCCATAAGGTTATTAATTTTCAACGAGCTTTCATTTTATACATTTGGTTTCTTTATTGTTAGATGTGACTAGTCACTCAGTATTAAACTATCAGTGGAGCTTGACTGGATGCGGTGCACCACTCTTGGTCTTTAAAGAAAGCCATGTAAGCAGGGTCAGTGAATCTTCACGATCTACTGGAAGTCTCATGACTATTTATAACATGCCAGGATTTCATATTGTTCACTGTGCCTAGTTTCGACTTTCAGCACAACAGTCCATCTGACTAAAACTTTATGATTATGTAAATGCATGAAGTGGATGAATCATGGTCATGTTTTCAGTTTACTATGAGCTTCAGTAACTTGGATCTGGATAGGTTTGACAGTAGGTGTGACTCACACTGTACCCCAAAATCTCTTGTTTAAGTCATTTTAAATGTGTCAACATACGTGTCTCCATCTTCATCTTGATGTGTTGCCAGTGAGATTCCCTCCAGCAGGTTTTCAGTCTGATGGACGAGCGGATATTGTGGCTCTGGGGCCGGTAGGCAATAAATGGGATAGTGACCTAAGAAGTGAAGAAGGCAGAATGAGAGAAAACAGAAAGGCAGAGAAGAAAAAAAGGACAACTGATGATTACATTCTTTTCTGTCATTAAGGAAGTGGGTTACACTACATGTGTGAGTTTGCAAAAAAAAAAATCAGTTATGACTTGACCCAGTAAGCTACATCTGTCAATTTGAATGAGGACAGATGACAGCAGAATAGCTGACTGGGCATTTTTTCAGCAGCAGCTGCTGCATCATCTCTGACTCCAATCAGTCTCCTTTTGCACGTGGAGCGTGACACAAGTGAACAAAGTCTCAGATGCAGATAGAGTGAGGCATTCTGCTGATGTTTAGCAAATAAAAATGGTAAAATGTCATAACTGCTGTGGTCACTTTGAGAGCTCTGGTAGGCTGTGTCATAAAGCAGAACAGTTTCAGTCTCGTCTGCTTTCTTAGAACACTTATGGCACATTAAATATTAAATATTTTTTCACAAATAGTATATATATATATATATAGATATATACTGCTCCATTTAGGAGCTGAATCTAAAAACTGCATTTGAGAATCATTTTACAACATGTTTTTCAAACATGGACTGGTAACTCTTACCGTAGCTAAAGGGGTTCAAAAAGCACCAGGGATACCCTTCTGCCTCATGGGGGTGCCTCGGGGTCACCGGTGCAACAGCAACCCTGCTCTCTGCGGTTCTCTCCAAACGACCGTCCACTCTCTCCTGACACACGCAGTCCGGTTCCCCCGCTGGGGAAGAGCTGTCTGCGCTCACAGGTGGAGACGGCGAGGAGCTCTGGCTCTCAGGTTCTACGTGAAATTGACGTTTCCTGAAAGGAAGCTTCAAGGCAGATGTGTCCACTGGCCGTTTGCGAGCCGCACTGGCCTCTGTGCCTGTCGAGTCTCTGGCCGAAGCGTGACGACCCTCCGAGCTGCCCGTCCCCGTGCAGGCGGGGGGCGCCGGTGACCCCCCTGTTCCCCGGGCGTCCCTGGCGCAAACATTGCGCTCCGGCGTCCTCGTCCCGCTGATTCTGCGCGCGGTGATGCTCAGGTCCAGCGGCGCGCTGGCAACCGCCTGGTGGTCAACGTTCATGGTCATAACCCCCTCGGCATCAACTGAAGAAGTGTCAGGTGTGTATGTGGACACACAACCCCCTCTTCGTCGCTCAGAGGAGGTTTAAACAGACAAACCAAAGTGGCCAACTGTGCGCAATTCCCATGTCTGTGAGAAATGGGCAGCGATCAGTTTTCCTTTAGTCACTGATGCAACTCAGATAAGCGTCAATGAGATTGGTATGGATATACACGAATAAAAGAGCACAGGAGAACCTTGCACACGCATAGCTGTGTGTATCCCAGCGCACGGCTGCAGCTATGAGGAACAGCGCCGGGGCGCATCTGCTTTAAATGAACGCCGCTTTGACACTTGACGGTACTTTCGTTTTAAACCGAAACCAAGCAACCCAATCACCTAAATTGTAAAAAGAGCGAGGGAGGAAGGGGTTAACTTGGCATTGAATTTCTAAGTAATTCTGCATTTCCTTCTTGTCTGACATCTGTCTGTTTCACATGCAAGTTCAAAACATCAAACGTTGAATTTCTCAAGAAGTTCACTCAGGTTCTCTTGTCAGCCAGGACACATTGATAAGAATGAATGAGAGGAAATGTGGGACAAGACCCCGTTTTCTTCTATGTGCGTTTCGGGGAAGGGATGTATAGATGCATAGGCCTATAGATCAGTGAAAATGTGTTTTGTTAGAATGATATAGCTAAAATAATTGGCATTAATAAGGAATTGATGGAAGTAAATTATTGCAAAAAAACAAACAATGAAAGCTTTTACACACTGTTTACAGCTAAACAAAATTGGGCCATTTTTATCGAAGGTACTTCCAATTACTTATTGTCAAAGTGCAGTTTTGCTTATATCTATGAAACTGCTCATGGTGTAAGACTTTTATAGAAAAAAACATGAAGGCCATATTTTCCCTTCTGTATTGCAGTCCATCACATGCACACCTTGTGTTAGGTTTTTGATATTTAGACTTTGTCTGCTACCTGAGGGATACCAGTATAATATAGCCGCAGATTCCGAGCTAACCTCACGCCAGTACAAAGAAGGTAGTGAGGAGAGTGGGAGGTAGGTGGATTTTTCATTCATTTAGAAAGACTAACGCTTCTGTGGCTGCAACTGTTTCTGCATGTAGCCGTGTTACCTAAAGCCAGGGTCTAAGTGCAGTGCTGCTGAACCCGCACACAAGCAACACATCACATCTCATCCCTTTGTCTTTAATCCTATCCTCTTACCAGGGTCAATTTGGGACTTTCCTCTTACCACTGAAGTGTGGAGTGGGCAACGGAAAGTCAAGCTCGGTGTCTAAAGTCCCTAAAACACCCTGAGACTGCACAGACATGCTCTGCAGCTGTCAGGGCATTCAACCATTATGGTCTGGTCTGGTATTGTGTTTCACTGCTTATCAAAAATACATATTAGATCAGTTGTATTCTTTCTTCAGCCAGTCCAGAGCAGAATATACACTTCAGGCATCGTAGAGCAGATTGAGGCACAAACTGAGGTTCATTGATCATTCTCACATAAACACAAGTACAAAAAATGTAATCTTGCTCATTTCAAATGCAGGGACTAGGCATTTTTACTCCATCTTCAAAGTTCATACATGGTACAACAACAAATGAGGCCCCCTTGTGGATTTAAAGGAAAGGCGCAGCCCAGCTCCCAAAATAGATTATGAATAAAACATTTAGCAGTTCATCTCATCAGTATTTAGATAGAAATAGATTTGAAACGTAGTTTAAAATATATTCGAGCTCTCTTCAGTTTAAATAAATTAACTGGGAAACTCACGTATTTTTGTATAAACTGATCAGACTTTACAGTCAATGAGAGATGTGTATAGTTTGAGTTAGTGTCTCCACCTTGTGGATATAAATGGGAAGGACTTTTCTTTCTCATTTTTCTTGTGGTGATGCTTGCAAAAAATACATTTTCCTACGGTGTGTTGAAATTAGTTTATAGACTGTATCAGATAAACAATAATAAATATCAATAAGATCTGAGATTAAATATTTTGTACTGATTAGATTTGTTTGGAAAACCTCGGTACTGTTCATTACTGTTCAGACTGTTCCCTATACTGTATGTGAATGTATTGTTTGATTTCAGGGATACTCAAATTAGTATCAAACACAAAGGATGGTTGAAGCTGATGGGAGGTTTTGCAGATATTTATTGTGAGACAAAACTATTACACAAATAAAAGAAACATGACCTGACAGCAGAGGTCAAGGAACCACCTACGTTATTTGCAGCTCAGCCTGAAGCTGCCTGTGCTTGTTGATCAAATTTAATGGAAATCCATTTTAATTGGAAACACAAACATCAGCCTTGTGATGGTGCTAAAGGAAAAGCGGGATGATGAGTAACTGAATAATTAATTACCATACAGGCATGCACCGAAAGCTGCTGTCAGTCATTCCTACTGGGCTACGCAAATCTGGTAATCGCCTTTAATCATGCAGTTACCTGTGCTTCCAGCCAACAGGCAGGTGATGGCTACTATAAAATGTTGAATCATATGCCCTTTTACACACATCCTGTCTGCTACAGCAGTCATGTGAAAAAGAAAGTACACCCACTCTCAGTTTTACTGTTTCACATGTAGGAAAAAAACACTTACCAGATGTTAATAATGGATAAATGCAATGTCAAATTATTCTTCCTTCCAATATTGCTTCAGTTAATCAATGTTTGCAGCACTGGTTTATGCACACCTCTACTAAGGTCCCATCAGCTGTCAGTCTGATAAGATCTGGACTTTGACTGACCATTGCAACATTGCAACTCCTCTTTTTTTCAGTCATCTTGTGTCAGATTTGCCGCTCTGTGTTAGATCATCGTCTCCCTACATGACCTGTCAGACATAAATCTAGAATACGAGGGTTTGCAGAGGCATTCGTGGTCAACTGACTGGCTGTAAAGTGTCCAGGTCGAGGGGCACAAGTCAGTAAGAGGTTTTCTCACGTAGTCCCTCTAAATGTAGAATGAGGGATTCCAAACCCCTTTGAAATATTGTTGTAATCATTGAAGCTCAGTTCAGTGTCTGATTTGCATCACATGACTGATTCTAAACCTTTTATTTCCGAGAAACAATGAGAATGACCGTAGCATTTTATTTAATCAATAAATTACTCAGCGTTAAATATGAAGAGCTGTGTTTATTTCTAATTGCATTTAACTAATTCAGTGATAATTATGCTCTCACATATGAGAAGTGATACTGATAGTGTGCTTTTTACCACATGACTGGAAAACATCTTCCTATCCGGGTACAAAGTGTAAGCGCTGTAAAGTCAGGTTGGTTATGAGTTCTCACCTCTCCTTCTTCCTCCCTCCATGTCCCCCTCTCTGCTTGACAGACAGACTGAGCAGTAGAGCACAGCAAACAAATTTTTTGTGTCACGGCAACCAGGAAACCATTCAAAGGCTGAACCTGTGCGAATGAGAACCGAGAGGATGCCACAAAGGGAGACTTGAGAAGAGGCAGCTAGGTTTCAGGCCCCGGCAGAGAGCATGTACCCACCGCCGCATGTTGATGAGCCAGCTCTGTTGTTGACCCGGAGAACGTAGGACTTTTGTGCCGCGGAGATAAATGCTGGTAAGCAGAGAACGCTGTTAAAGTGTGGGCATGGGCGCGCAGCTGAGTGTCTATGCTGGAGAGATTAAGGAGGTGGTGGGGGTGAGACGGCAAGACTTCGGATTGTTAGAGGGTTGAGTGTCTGTGTAAAGCTCGACTTTGTCTTCTATTGTAGAAATATGTGGAAATGTTAAAAATGAATACTGCCTGACACAGGCCTCATATTTTAATTTTGTTTTGCTGTGATCTGTGAGAGGATCTTAGAGTAAATAGAGGCTGTGGCTTTGATAAGCAAAGCATTTCTCGAGGTGATTGCATCGATTGCTCATTGTTTGAGAGTATGATCCTATTTGACATGTTCCACTTTACACAGTGACTAATGAGGATATTCTTTTCAGATTATGTTGAGGACTGGAATAGAATAGTAAAAAATAACCCAAAAAACTCAAGTCACTATGGTTGCATATTGTTTTGAATATACTTAAATATTCAAAGTTGACCTTTCAGACCTCTTGACTCTTTATTATTTGTCGCCACACCCCCTCACACGTACTCACAGACAGGCATGTAATATAGTTTTGCTTCTCATCAGCCTCAAGCACAAACCCTGAAATGATGGAAGGAGAAGGAGACTTTGGAGGGTCTCAGACCTTAAAATCGAACTCCCAGACCCCTACCTGTGGAGATCGGCGACTGCTGGACAAGAGCCTCAAAAGACTGGGAAAGCTGCACGAGCTGTGCACAAACCCTCGACTGGGCTTGAGGAACAGCCCGCCATACCTGCCAGATCTGGTGCGTGAGACCTCAACCCTGCTCAAACAAGTGTGGGAGCCCTACCAAAGCCCCTGGTCAACTGGGGGCCATGTGCCCCGGGGAGACGAAGCCAAATACCTAAGAGTCCACATCAGAAACCTGCTGGATAAGACGGAAAGGGCCCTGCTGCTGTTTAAAGACGGACGGGAGAAGATATTCGATGAGACGTCAAGCAACAGGTAAGAAGGCCTCCGGATTATTTTTAAACACAGAGTGAGCACATGTTAAGCAGTTTTGGTATTCAAACAACTTAAAACTATCAAGTCATTTCTGCGTCTTAACAATAATTAAAGAAACAGAGAACACATAGTTTCTCGAGTTTTCTTCTTGTTTTAAGTTTAGTTATAATATCAACTAACATGAAAACGTTTTCCGTATCTTATTGAAAAAAAAACGTAAAAAACTCAGCAGCACTCTGTGACTGTGTGAATTTTAGTTTACATGGTCTAAATGTTGTTATAGATGCACAATACCACTTAAATCTGAATCACAATGGACATTACAGGGATTTTTCTAAGCCTTTGACACTTCATGGGCAAAATTAATATCTCAGAGAGTAGCCTATGCCGACTGTAGGGTGACATAAAGCCGCAAACACCCCTCAGATCTGCCACATCTATCAGCTTCTCTGGATTGATGCATAATAATGAAATGACAAAATTAAAAAAAAAATTGGATGAAACAAAATAAATTAGCGATTTAAAATGACTGACAATGCACAATGTCCGGATTTAACGGCTGGGATGAAGGTCTCCACACCTCCCAGAACACTTGCTGAGCCTTACAACTCTGTTTTACACATAAATAGAAGTTGGTGTAAAATAAATAACACTCCCTGGTTCTCAGAAGATAAATATATTCATTGCTGTGAGCATCTTCTGTAAGCTTTCTGTTCGGCTAAAGAAGCTATTTTCAAACAGGGTGACTTTTTTCTGATTGGGGTTTGGGCTGAAGTCCCTTCATCCTGTTGGGAATACTAATAAGGATTGTGGAAAAAGGGCCAAAGTTAGAGCTTTGTGATGCTAATATGAATAAGCCAGAAAAAGCAACAACACCCTTTGAGTTTGGAAGGGAACATTGCGATGATCTCCATTTATCCACATTTTAAACTTAAGCAGAAATGTTTGACGATATAGTTATACCACAATTTTAGAATCTTATTACATGGATTAATTTAAATTATTAGTCATGCTTTATGAGATGGACACATTACTTAAGTAATTCTGAGTAAATAGAAGACTTGTGAGGATTTAATGAGAGATTAATGTACAACATATGAATTACTGTTTGTCCCAATAAAGTAATGACCATGTACAGATCTTATACTAATCATAAAATAGAATTATGAATTGGTGTTGTATATTTAAATGTTCATACATATCAGATAAACAGATAAAAATACGACAAATGCACTGATATCAATAGCATTAGTATTGGCATTTATGGAACCAGTTTGTTTGGTGGTACATTAGTTTGCGTAGTAAGTGTGAATGATCAATTAATTAAATATGTTTAGATGAGCTTTAACAGATCACAACTTTCCACAGTGAACTGATAATTACTTTAACACAGACTAAAAATTAATCCTGTAATTAATCGTCTAGCCCTACAGTAACCTATGATTTCTTAACAAATAATTAATTCGGTGTTGTGCCTATTATAAAAGGTTACCAAAAAACGCCTTGCATATTTTTCCTGCTGTATGGCACTATGGCATATTTGTCCACTGTATGGCACTGGAGCATTAACTTCAGCCTCTGGTAGATATCCATTTATTGTTTGAACATTTAGCAACATCTTGTGCACAAGATTTGGGTACGAAACAGATACAAACTACCGATCAAACAAACGGAGGCTGATTACAGAATGAATGGGATTTAACTGATTATCCTCTCCTCTCCAAAGCCATGTTACCCAGTTGGTTGAGCCGCCGGCTCTCCGACTCAGCTCACATCTGTAGATTGGACTGTTAGCTGTGCCTGCTAAAAATATACATGTTTATCACAGACCATGCTTCAGCAGAATCTATAATAAGATAATTTCTGAATCTTCCCCTTGTACAACAGATGGGCCTGTCACCGCAGCATGAGCTGCATGGGCAGCCATGTGGCAAAATCACACACTGTTATGTGAACTGTGGCTTCGATGTTGAATTGTCTTAATATCCTTTTTCAAGTTTCTGGAACATCCGGCTCAAATGTTCTCTTTTTAGTGGTTTCTGTGATCCTGGAACTTCTCTCAGATTTCACAAACACTGACTGAGACGCAAAGACAATGGGCACTCCGTGACAGGGAAATTATCGCTTGGGTTAAATATGTAGACGGAACTGATGTTTGACTGATGGTAAAGACAACAGAAGGTTTAACGGTTCAGTTGTCATTGTCTGTGACCCATATGTGCCTTTTACATACCCTGCCAGGAATATAACAGACAGATATGCAAATCTGACAACTTTCACACACATGATCCATTGTCAGAACAGTATTAGATGTCCCACATGGTTCATCGACCTTATAGGAATGAAAAATTGCTTATTTTATATGTAGTAAAATCAGAAAATAATAGAAGATTTAAATAAAATTTCAGCTACAGTTAAAGCTTGCTTTAAGTAGAAAATGATCAAACTCGATCGATACTAGTTTGACTTCTGCGTGGGCTGTAAATTCTTTAAAGGGCTTAATATGTGTGTTTTTGAAGTGCCATATTTGCTATAGATTATGTGAAGCATCACCCTGAATTGTATGAGTGTTAAGTGCATGAATATTAAATGTGTACTTCAACTTTGTACTTAAATGCAGCACTTTGCGTAATTGTCAGCTCATTAGCACGCTTAAGAGGAACTCATTCATGGACACAAACATCTATTAGAATATGATGTTCCCTCACATTTTTTGTAAAATTAGTAAAAACACTTTCATACATAATTTACCTATATTTTGAGTGTATGATGACGAGGTATAGTACGGGAGTCCAACACGCAATCTGTGATCAAGCTATTAATAAATATGCTGTTTAATTCAACAGTTCACTTGAAAATGGCAGCAAATAACGACCAGCACAAGGCATTTTTCTCAGCCATTTTAGGGTTTGGGTTAGGGTTCGGCTCTTACTGTCAGTTGTTCGGCAGTATTACAATGTTTTGAAATATATTTTTAAATACATAGGTCAAGCCAGAGTGAGAGATGTGGCTTACGCATTTCCTCCCACCTCCTCCTTCACCATCATTATCCTCTACGCTCAATGGAGGTTCTTTTTTTTTCTCATTGAGGTGACATGTCTACAACCACTTTCCACACTGTCGACTGTATTTTTCATGACTCATTTACAAAAGTTCAGAAAAACACAAGTAACGATTTGATGCAAAAGATGATATGTTATTTGGTATTGGACTAAAAAACAATCTTGTTCATCAGTTCGTTCTCCTATTCTACAGTACACATTTCATGGAGGTGATAAGTGGTTGTTTCTGACCTGCGTCATTTGGAGGTGTCAGCGTCATTAAGAAATTGTGCTGCCACTGGTATAGCATGTTAAGCGTACTTCATTTTCAGACTGCTTGGTATTACCTTTTTGCATGAAGCTGAAGCAGAAAGACTTATATGTGATATATTCTCGGGAAATAAATCTGAAAATAAAAAGTTCAGTTCATAAAAGTGCAAAAAAACAAACAAACAAAAAACCAGTGAGTTTGTTAGAAACATTAAAAAAAAAGAGCCTCAGTTAACACAATGGCCACTGGAACATTTTGTGGTATGTACAAACAAGTGTGCAGCAGCCAGCATCCTGTTTGCAGGCTGGACTACCAGAGTGTTTGCCTCTTAGTGTGTGCGTCTTCGTGCATGTGTTTGCATCTCTGAGGAAAATGAGAGAGGCTTCAATTATGTCAGTTGAGAACGCGCTGTAGGGTAAAGAACATAGCCAGGCAGTACTTGATGTAACTGTGTACCTTAAGAGAAGCTGTCTCTCAGGTAAAATACAAAGCAGAACAAATTAGAAACAAATGTTAAGATAATATGTACAAAATTGTATTTTTTTCAGATATAAATGTCTAATGGCTTGTAGTATCACAAGACTTGATATATCGGAGTAGGGAGGCCAAACACTATAGACTGTAGGGGAACATCGCCCTGTGGATTTATTGTGTCGCTGTGTTGAATGGATCAGTTTGTGGATGCAGAACAACTTCTACAGTTAAACTCTGACAAAACTGAAATATTTCTCTGTGACCCACTGAAACAATTACAAAGTGTCATCAGTCACCTTCAGACTCCCTCTCTATGGAGCCTAAAAAGCGGGTCAAAAATCTCAGTGCTAATACTGGAAATTTAGAAGCCACATTAAATCAGTAACATCAGAAGCCTTTTACCATCTCAAGTGCTCAGGTCTCTGCACCGGTTTCCTGTCGCTCAGAGAATAGACTTTAAAAAGCTGCTTGTGTACAAGTCTCATCATGGTCCGGCGCCATTGTAGGCCTCTGGTATGTAAGAGCCGAATGAATCAGCTCAGACTCTGAAAACCTCAGATAGTAGTCTCCTGCTAGTGCCCAGAATAAGAACCTAACAAAGAGAGGTTTGATTTCAGTTTTATGCTCCTGAAATCTGGAACAGTCTTCCGGAGAAAAGGGATAGGCCTCAACTCTGATGTTTAGCTGCGCATATAACAACTGAAAGTACTTTATCCGCACTCATTACTTTCAATGTATTCAAGTGATGATTGTTTTATTATATTGAACTTATTTCTATTAAGTTCTCATTGGTGCAGGTTTATTAATTTTCTGCTTTTAAACTCCATGCAAAGCACTTTGGATTGTCTTGCACACGTAATGTGCAACACAAATAAACTTGCCTTTGCATTTTTAACACAGCACGCTTTTCTCTATTTTTGCATCTGCCTCTAAACGTTTTCTGTATCTTTCATTCTTCAGGAGGAACCTGACCAAACTGTCCTTGCTGTTTAGCCACATGCTGTGGGAGCTGAAGGCCATGTTTCCTGGGGGATTCTTTCATGGTGACAGCTATAAGGTGACAAAGACTGAGGCAGAGGAGTTTTGGAGGGATTCCTTTGGCAATCGGTACGTATGGGATATTTTCCCGATTAATAATTTGAGCACTGTTTTTAAAATCTTTTCTGTCCATACCCACATCTATGCCATTGTAATAATGTGTTCTGCCAGGTGTATAGTGCAATGGAATAGTTTTAAAGAGCAACTGAGAAGAGTACATTCGTTTGAAGAAGGGATGGAGTCCATGGCTCTGAAATCAACGATCGATCTCACCTGTAATGATCACGTCTCAGTGTTCGAGTTTGACATTTTCACAAGACTGTTTCAGGTAAGCTGCAAGCACGTGGTACAAGTAGTTTCACTGTTTTCTTTTTTTCTTACTGTTATTGATATTGGGGTTGCATAAAGTATGCAATGGTAGTTTTTGACGTAGCTGCAGTGGGCAGCCTGTCAGGCAGCCACTGGCTCTTCAGATAAAGACTCTATTATCTATTAAAGAGCAGACCTTTAAAATAGCCACAAACAGAATCACACATGCACTCTTCTATTTCATGGTATAGATCCTCCACAACTGTTATGAAAGCAGCAAAAAAAGGAAACTTTTGCATATTTGTTATTCTTTTTTATCATGAGATTATGTTAACTTGAAAAACAAAACAAAAACATGATATCAAGACTTGTTGTCTTGAGATAATAGAGAAATGAAAATAGAGTATTTTACCATTATGTATAAGAAACATGATCCATCTTGGGTAAGGCCACTTTTTGTGTCCACACATGTCCACATCTGTCCTCTTGTAGCCTTGGCGATCTCTCATAAGAAACTGGAACCAGCTAGCAGTGACCCATCCGGGCTACATGGCCTTCCTGACCTACGACCAGGTTAAAGCTCGGCTGGAACACTACCTGCACAGACCTGGGAGGTGAGCATAAGCACAGAGGAAATCTCTCCCATCAGCGCTTAAGCAGGCTCGCCAAAAGCATTCAAGATCTGATCACTGGGAAAGGCATTATATAATCTCATGTTTACGTGTTGCTTTTTTTTGGATAAATGTTTTCAGGGTCAATAGATGATGTTCTTTAAACCTCTGTTCATCTAAAAAACTGGCCAAAATGTTTCACATACCTTCAAACAGTACATGAGAAAGCAATATTGTACAGGGTGATTTTAACTGTTTATAGGGCTTTGCCTTATATCCTGTGGTGTCCCCCAGATATGCATCAGTGGTCTAAACACAGCAACTGGAAAATAAATATAACGATTATTATTATCAGTTTATAAAGGAAAAAACAAATTTTGACAAATGAATGATCATAGATGGAGAAGATTACTAATTAGGTGAAGAGATTTGATGAAAATGGATATAAATGTTTTGCAAGGCCTCACAGATAAAGTGGAAGAATTGTATCTGCAATAATTGCAAAATGACCTAATTTCACAAAAATCTTCCAAATATGACCACCTGATGTTGAGTGGACCCCCTTCATAACATTTTAACAGTAACCAAGACTGTCAAGCTATGATGCAAGCAATAGATGACCTAGTATATCCAAAATGACATGATATAATGTAATTTGTCTGTCTGCTTACAATAAGCATTTTGATCCTGTCTTGAAAAAAAAAGAGATATCTTTTCTGTCCAGCTACATTTTTCGTCTAAGCTGCACAAGAATGGGTCAGTGGGCTATTGGCCATGTGACCAGTGAAGGGGACATCGTCCAGACCATCCCCCAGAACACGCCGCTCTACCAAGCGCTCATTCAAGGATTCAAGGAGGGCTGGTTAGGACAAGATATCACATGGCTGTGATGTATTGTATCTTCCCTGAGTTTAAGTGTCCTTTGTAAGTGCTGTGTGTTCCTCTGCCGCAGCTACTTGTACCCAGATGGTCGGGATGTGAACCCTGACTTGACAAGCTTGTGTGAACCGGCACAAAGAGGAAAAGTCTTTGTTACAGAAGTAAGCAGATGGCTTTTTTAAAAACTGTTTTACAGCAGACTGCCGACTGGATCTTGAACATTTATAGCGACAAAGTATTTATATAACACGTTGAAATGTTGTCTGCTCTGTCAAACCAACACCATCCAATAGGAGCAGTACGAGCTTTACTGTGAGATCGGCAGCACCTTCCAGCTGTGCAAGATCTGTGCAGAGAGGGATAAAGACATTCGGATTCAGCCCTGCGGGCATCTCCTGTGCCAGCCCTGCCTCACAGGCTGGCAGGTATGAAGCCCCATGTGCTTCCTCAAAGTGATCATATTCTCACATCTTCTTTTGAGACTTACTGTTATTATACACTTGTGGGTTTAGTGAAGTTAAACAGTCTGGGTTGACTAAACTAAATGTATTTTTGTAGCTTTTGGTCTGGCTTCACTATACTGCAAGAATGGTTGTTATTTGAATGTGGTTTGGGGTTTGTCTCAAAAACACGCTTTATGCTTCCCATGCAAAATGATTCATTTAAATGTTATTCAAATGATGTCAATGTAGAATTTCACATTAAATATTTTACATGTGTAAATATAAGAAAAGAAAGATGTATCATATATTAGATAGGAAAAATCTGAATCTCTTAGTGGATCATGAATCCTTAAGGGTTGTAAAGAAAACATGCCTGTGAAATGATGCTGTGGCCTGATGTTGTTAAAGAGTGTTATGAATAGGGTTTTTAGGCTTGTCTGTTCCAGATGTTTTGTTAGTGTGGATAGAAAAGGTATGGTGATCATTGAAGTGAATTTCCTAAACTTCCAGATTACACCAAAACCCAAACAATGTGTCTGTAAGTGAAATTCAGACATTGACGACCGAATGTTTCAGCAGTTCAAAGGTTATTGGCAGACAGGAGTAAATGAGCTAAACTCTGAAAACGCTGTCACTGTTGGAAAACAGTAAGTCTGTATGTTTAATTCAATTCAATTTTATTCATATGGCGCCAAATCACAATAACAGTTATATCACAGCACTTTCCAAACAGAGCAGGTCAGACCCTATTCTGAAGTTATTTACAGAAGCCCAACAATGTGACTGTATGTGACTATTTCTGCTTTAGTTAACTGTTCAAGCATTTGTTTGATATATTATGGGGGAAAAAACAACATCTTTCAAAATCCCCTGTTTTATTTGTGCAGTCCATTAGACAAGTTTCCAAAAGTAAGAAGAATTAACCACAGCAGCAGAATGCGTTCCTATGCTTGATCCTGCATAGCACCACCCCTGGGACTCCCCCAACTTCCTCTTTTAGGCCTCAATGACATAAAAGACACCTAATCAGAATTACAGTCAGTTCAGTAGTTGTGTAATTCTCTGAAAAAGTGCAAAGCATCCTGACATTTGGCTCAGTACTTCCTGTGTGAGCTCATCTTAACACACTCCTTAAACAATGTCAGTCACAAGTGTGTGTGTGTGTGTGTGTGTGTGTCTCAGAGAGAGAGAGAGAGAGAGAGAGAGAGAGAGAGAGAGAGAGAGAGAGAGAGAGAGAGAGAGAAAAAAAAAAGATAGACAGAGAAAGGGAGGATGAACGTAAAAATAAATGTGTTATAACATCACATGACTTTGGAAAAGTTGTAATCTGTAAATCTGGTTTCTTTAGAAAAACCAAAACCTTCACAAATCTAAACATATGCGCAGCCTCTCAGCTAAACTGGTTTCAAACAGTGGCAGCTTGGCAGCAAAACACGTGCACAAAGCCTGTGCTCCACATCAGTGAAAGCTAAATTAAAACTTCGCACTTTGTCTTCATTCCCACCTGTTGTGCAGATGTGGAAAACTGCAGTCTGTCTGTTAAACGGGGTGTTTTCCACCACCGTGGCTTTTGTCTTTGATGACAACCACAACATATTCCACTACAGTTAGTTCAAAAGAGATACAACTTTTGTCCGATGGCTATATTGATATGGTCTTTCCGTTACTCTACCTTGCAGAAGTCAGATGGCCACACCTGCCCGTACTGTCGCTGTGACATCAGAGGGACAGAGGCCATCCTCATAGAGCCCTACCTGCGGGGCAGCATTCAGTGGGAGGACGAGGGAGATGATGACGGCAATGATGAAGACCACGAGGACATTGAACTGGTTGTTAAGGAATTAGCAGCCCTGAGGAAGGTATGTGGATACACTTTCTTTTATTAAATAGTTTTTTTCAATGAAATGTGATTGAATTACCTTTAATCATTACGGCATTTTCCACAGTTCTCAAGTTTGGAGTTCCAAGCTGCGGGCCCAAGCAACATAGCTCCACCACTTCCTCCTAAAAATGTCCCTGCCACACACTACACAACTCCCTCCAGGCAATCTCTGGCATCTGACGGCATGATGATGGCCAAACACACTGACTCTTTTTTGGTAAGATCCCTCAGGTACTTCAAGTACTATGTACATAATAACATTTGCATGCTGATGCTGTCTGTTCTGTCTGGAAACTTCATGATGGGACAAGTTGATTTTAGTTTGACCCACATAGACCCTCAACACTGTCGGCTGATGCTCAGGGGGACCAGCAGCTGCCGTGTGACTTTGCCTTACAGTCGCAGGTTGCCTGCACTATCATTGTCATGACCTGTTTTTTTTTTCTTTTTTTGTTCTCTGCAGGGTCTGAGTGGAAGTGAAGCAAACAGGCACCAACCACAAGCAAGCTGGTGAGACGTCACTATCGGCTGATCAGTAAAATATCCTCATAGGATCCTCAACCTAGTTACGAAGACTCAACTGTTACAGACTCACTGATTTGACATATATTAGGCTTACTGACAGTTTGGTATAGTTAATAATTTTGTTGATTTTTATCAGCTATGTCTTTGCATTTATTATAAAACCTGGTAACAAATAATAGTCAGATAAAACATGACAAATTATGCTCCCATACATATTTTTCTTTGCAATTTTGTCTCACACAGTGCTGAATTCTCCAGAGAAGCTAATTTTCCATCTTCCTCTCAGGGTGAATGTAAGTTTTGGCATGTTATTACCTTAATTTATCTATGATTTAAGTGTTGAAACTCTACTTTAATAAGTAATTAGTTTTCAAACTAATGTATGCTAGTGTTTGGATGTAAAATTTACTTTTTTCAATCATCACTTAAAAATGTAGTAGAAAACTAGAAATGAAAGGAACGAGGTCGAAAATTTACTTAAAGGACCGAATGAAGACTAATGTTTTATTAATATGTAAGAGTGATACAACTTTTGGTGCAAAGGTTTTCTAAGGTTCCACCAAAATCATTTTTTTTAGTTATCATGGTTTTGATCAAATTCGAACAAGTCATCATCCACATTTCTTGAACATTATTGAGATGTGATTTTGAGAAAATTTCAGGGAAGTGTTCATGATACTGGTAAGAGGAAACACTGCAGTGAAGCACAGCAGTTCATTTAAGAAATGGTGACACATTTCTTAGGCTGGTGGGGTTTTTTCTGTTTTTTACTTTCTTATTATCTGTCTTTCTTTTTTTATACATAACCTCGAAGATGATGCATGATGGCCTTTTTTTCACCAGCATGCATTTAGACTGGTCAATGAAGCAAAAACACAGGAATATTAATAATAGCTGGCCCTGGTTTTGGGCAGAGTTCCCTTCAAAAACTTACTTGTGTCTCACACTGATGAAGTTGGACAACACTAATTGCACCTGTGCTCTGACAACTCTTTGCATTATTCTTAGCTGGAAGTCATTTTTACTGTTGTGCAAGAACAGTATGGCACATTGGGGCAAAGAGAAGTATTGGTTTAATTTGGTTTCCTTTGTCATTTGCGTATTGTCTGTATTAATTTAAATTCAAAGTATTTGGAATGAAATGTTATCACCTGATTAGATTGCAATAATCCAGATGTTCATTATTTTGGATGTTTGCGATGAGCAGTCCTACATGATGGGCATTTTACAGACCTGTTTTTGTGCTTTTGTGTAGTTGAAGTGGCGTGGATTGGACCCGCAGTCAAAGAAAGAAAACCTAAGGGAAAGGAGGAGAGTGGAAGAAAAAGAAGAAAAGACAAAAGTAACCTTGGAGAGATGACAAGAACTATGTCATCCTGAGGGGCAAGCACCATATGAAAGTAAAAATCTGTAGTAAACAACAACTGGGAACTGAGATAACTTTATACAAGAGATCCACCTACAATGAATGTAACAATGGCTTTGAACTAACAATTGGCAGTAAAAGACTTTGTGCCAGCTGCACTGCTAAAAATGAGAGATCTAGGCGGGACAGAGAAAGAACATGAAAAAAAAATCCCCCTTTTACCTCCTGCTGTTCAGTAATCACATTGTCATTATCTAAGCACTGAATTCAGCACTAATTTCTAAACATAGTCTCACACACTGTCTACTGTGTGATTAAAGCGTTTAATGAGCCTCCCAGAAAATATATAAATAAGTTAATACAATTAAATTATGAGGACAGATGAGAGAGGCTAATTTGATAACTAGGATAGTTATATTGCTACCTCTTGTAATGAATAATATTCTCATGAAATGCATGTAAATGAAAGCCTCTGTATGACTAGAACAAGCTGCCTTATATAGACCATAGAAATAAATCCGAAACTGATATGTATTTGGAGATTTGTTTGACCTTGGGATAGCTCATTATGAGCATGAAAACATGAAAACGCACGTGAAAAATAAATAATTACACCAAGGGGAGGGAGGGTTTCTTATTTCTTTTCATTAAGGCAGTTGTGCTGACTCAAAGTATGTGTAAAAAAATATGATAAGATTTCAGTTGAATAACGAGAAAGAGGGGAAAATGCAAGCAAACAAAATAAACACAAAAAATATCAGTGAAAGGAGGAGAAAAATGTGATATTTCAGGTCAGAGCTGTCAGAATGAATTCACTTCATGGAGGAACTCACACACTTTGGTGTGGATGCTGCTGGAGCAGCTGGGTGTGCAAACGCAGCCCCGGATGTTAACTATAAGAACATAGAAAATTCCCTGGTCGTCTCCACGAACTAAGGTTTTTATGTTCTTATGTTTTTCGTGTTGTATTTCTCTCACTGAAACCACCTTCTTCACCATCCGTGACAGTTTCCCCGTCCAGGCACAGGAAAAGGGAGTCGTCCTCAGTTTCCTATCCTGCAGGTTAAGGGATGGTTGCAGCTGCCTCAATCATGATACAGATAAAGGAGCTTTGGACGTTTGCTGTTACTCGATATCCTCAATATCCAATGAATGAGTGCGGTGTGTGTATGAGAGAGAAATATGTTGGTGGAGGCTCTAAAAGAGTAGGTTTAAGTTTGACGGATTCTCAATCTAAGCCCAAGTTGCTCAGTTTAAGCCCCCGTTTCCTCAAGGCTCTTCTTTTAGCTTTAGGCATTTTAACTGCTTTTTTTCATATTAAACACAATGTTGATAGATTTTATTCTTCCTTGTTTTGATAGCTGTTACGTGCTGATGAGATATAATTTGCAACAGTTTAAAAAACGGTTTAAAAAACGGTTTTAATTCAAGACCTTGTATCTGTGACTGCTTGTTGATATAGAAAAATATTCATCGAAACAATCCTCATCACAAATATTATTTACATCTGTTGTGGGAAACTTTGACTGCAGCATTGTTTTTGGAGAGAACAGATGGACTAAAACCAGGCACTAAAACCAGGTATTTTGGGAGAAATTAATCTGTCTTGATTGTGAATATTGAGCAATGTAAGTTGGTTTATTTTGAAATGCACAATAAAGTTTTCTTGAAAACATTAAGGAACACAATACTCAATGCATTTTCAGAACCGTGCAGAGATAAGACACAGATAGGATGCAATCTGTAATCTCTCACCGCGGGTGCCAGATGATAATGTCAGCCTGCATTAGCCTCTCAGTAAAGGCACCTAAAACCGCGTTCTTCCTGGATGACCTGTACTGAGCAAAGACTGAAAGAAATTATGAATCCTACAGGAGAAAAATCACATTTCACCAGATGGTGCTTTTATTGTTATCCCATGGGAAATTTACATGCAATTAAAACAGATTTGTGGGGTTTTGAGACAGCATTTTCAAGACTAAACAAGCTATTAAAGATTTTGAGAAAAGGGTTACTTCATTAGTATACGTACCTATACCAGAAGCGGGCCACAGAGAGCACTCAATCCTTGTAATTAAAACTTTCTTGACTGCCCTTTGCAGGACAACCCCCGTGGTTCTGTCATCTGGCAGCTCCTCAGAGTCTCCACACATTTAACACCTGCTCATGCCTCTCGCATGAGTCACTCATTTTCTGGCAAGCTAGAGCAAACAAACAAAATCAATTATGAAATAAAGTCAAGAAACTCTTTTGAGCTTGGACTGTCATTGATAAAAAGGTTAAAAGGTTCTGAGGCACTTTTGTCTGTTGTAAGTTTTTTAGATATGTTTTGCATTGTAGAATTAAAGGTATGTAGATACTTAAAATGGGCTGTTTCATTAGTCTGCTTTAAGTCACCCTTGTGTAACAGCTAAAAGAGGTGAGAAAGAAGCCGCCTGTGGACAGAGAAAACACAGAACATTCTGTATTTCTATGGTTGCATCAGATAGTCGTCTAAAGGTTTTAAAACAAATGAGAGTTGATGAATTAGTCCATTTCAATTTTTTCAGAAATTCTTTTATCATGGGGTAATTCTTTTTTAAGACTGCAGATACAAATGATTGTTCTGCAGATATCTGTTGTTGGCCTTCTCGTGTGTGATACAGAGCTGCAAGGAATCCTTTCCTGGGATCTTACTGCCCAGGTGTGTTGCCTAATTCTTTGGACAAGTAGTACGTTTTACAGAGACAGCTGGGCTGCGATCTCATATCACAGTATTACTATTTCAGAGGGGAAAGAACAGAAATGAATGAGACAGCAACAGCAGGTGGTTGTGGGTAGTGTCAGAAAGAGAAGCAGTGGGAGGGCAGAGACACACAGAGAAACACTTTAAGTCAGGGGCAAAAATATGTTAAGTTAGAGGACAAGATCAATAAACTTCACCACACAGTCTCACTGTCACTGATGAGCTCCAGTCAAACTCAATCCCCCCCCCCACTGGTTTGGGTCGACTTTTCTGAAAGTTCAGTTTAAAATGAGTTCAAATCTAGTCAAACAAAATTAACCACAGTCACACCCTCACATGTGGATTTCATGGAATTTAGAACACATTTGAGGTGGTTGCAGATTTGTTCAGTTTACAGCTACAGATCATGTGAAATCATTATTGAGCCAGAAACAGATTAATCAAGAACAATACATTTTTCAGGATATATCACCCCTCCCCCTCTGGCAGCTGGGATAAGCACAGGACTATAATTTTGGTCCTATAATACTGCAATTATACAGTAAAAAGTAAAACAATGAGGCCTCATTGTAGCACTGCTACGGTCCCAGCCTGACTACTCCCAAAATAACTCTGGCCATCAGTTCAGTGTTAACCGAAGAAAATCAACCTCTATGTGTTTGATTTTCTGCAATTTTCAAAAGAGTTCCAGTATTGTACGATAAATAAGTTAACACATTTTTTAAATCTGCAATGCCAGCCCAGTGTTTCAACACAGGAATTAACATTTTCTTATCTTAGAAAAAAATATTCAACACTGAGATAGAATGATGAAGGATGTTGAAGCAGACATTTATCAATGACACTACATAACAGATGCATCAAATTCATCCAACCGGTTACTCTCAGCCCTGAGGCCTTGGTCACAAGCCCTTTGTACAGCAGAAAAATCTGGTGGAAAAGAAAAAAAAGGTACATAATACAGATGATCGCTGATAATCTTCTTCTATCAGTGCAACCTGGTGCTTTTCTACAAAATCTTCACTTCCCACCATTTTTTTCATAATACACTTCTCTAAAAATTGAGAATTCATTGTAGAGTGTGCTGATGCATGGGAAACCTTCTTAAAGTCTAATGATCCTGATAACATTTCATTTCACAAAGCCTTCTAAGATAAAGAGAAATTCATGAAGTGAACACCAAGTCTAGAAATAACTGATGGTCCAATAGCATCGTCTGGTTAAAAAAAGAAAACACTACTGCATTAGAGGCCAAATGTTGTGATTGTCACTGTGTTGTTCTGCAGTCGCTGCTCAGGTGTCTCCAAGCCATCTATTCCCAATGTAAAATTTCACGTTTGCAACAAGGGATTAGCTTCTTGATATCACTTTCCATCTGTTGTAAGCAGACCTAACAAACTGATGTTGGCATGTTTCTCAGCTTCTGATTTCTATTAACACATCTTAATCATAGTCACAATAACACGCAATTAAGACTAATACTATATTTTGAAGAAAAATGTCATGCATCGGTATCAAAACATTGAAACATACAATGGTCAGCAGCACATTGATATAATGTTAATAAAGAGAATGAACACATGCTTTGCTTTAAGTTGTTTATTTGTCATAGTGTTCAACATGTCAGATGGAACAAGAACAGCTGCATGTGTTGAGCTGCTTAATTGAACATCTTTGGATGGATCACTTAGTTGCTAGCCATGGTGGACTCCAGCCAGTCGTTGAAGAGGCAGACCTATAAAGGAAGAAGAACGGGGTCACAACAGATAATCAACGTGTCTCTGCAGTTCAGACAGGCGGAGACTGATGAAACATTATTCCTCTTAGGAGCTCACCTTGGCGTAGACACCGGGATGGTCCCTCTCAGCGCATCCATAGCCCCAGGACACAACACCCTGCAGCTCACCGTTGCACACAACGGGGCCACCAGAGTCACCCTGACAACAGAGAAGAGGAAGGTGAGCACATTATGACAACAGAGATTTGTGGTATACTGACTCCTGCATGAACACATGTCAGTACCTGGCAAGAGTCCTTGCCTCCCTCCAGATAGCCAGCGCAGAACATGGCGTCGGTGATCATGCCGGGGTAGGAGTTGTCACAATCACGGTCGGACAGGATGGGAATGTTCAGGCACTGCAGCTTGTTACTGTCAGCAGCTGGAGAATTCAGGCAGATGTTAAGAAAACTCCCACAAAAGTGTTGAAAACTAAGCAAACATGAGAGTGGTGCATGAGGGATACTCACAGGAGCTCTGGGTGTTGCCCCAGCCGGAAACTCTGCACATGGTTCCAGCGGAAGCGCAGCTGGAGGGCAGAGCCACGGGCTGCACGTACTGGTTGAGGGTGGCGGGCTTGCTCAGCTTGATCAGCATGATGTCGTTGTCAATGTTGTAGGCGTTGTATCTGGGATGGCGGATGACTTTGGCGGAGCTGATAAACTGCTCGGTGCCCTCGCTGACCCTGATGTTGTGCTCTCCCATACGCACCTCCACACGGCTGAAAGCAGTTCAAAGAGTTAGCATGCAAACACAAATGCATGACCAAAAAAAGTTAATCTGAGTGATATCATGCAACATGCAATGTTGGAGGACAGAGGAATGCTGTTTGCTTACGACTTGTAGCAGTGAGCAGCAGACACAACCCAGTTCTCGTTGACCAGGGAGCCACCGCAGAAGTGGTACCCGGAGTTCAGAGACACCTGATGGGGCTCAGAGTAGGGCTGGCACTCAAACCCTCCGACGATCTTGTCGTC